CTGAGTGTAGTTTTGAAATTATAACGTGTCACGAAATTGCACGATTTTCGTGACGGTCACTTTTTTAACGTGCCCTAGTATCCCGACTGTCGATATCTCCGCTTGCGATAATAGACGTTATCACGTAAAACCGGGACGTCAACTGGGTGAAACTATTCTCGGCGATTTCGCCCGGGAGTTTTATTCCCGAATTCAAGGGACGAGGCTTCTTCTGGGTAAAAACTCGCGAGTCGGGGGAGGTTTTCGTTTACATCCGAATGAAAGTCCTCGTCGACGCGTATCCCAGGGAAGACGTCGACGGACCGACAAGGGTGGAATTTATTTACGCTTAGGAAGACGAGCAGCCCTCCTCATGAATAAGACAACGTATAGTCGAACCCACCCCAAACGGGCGCCGATGGTTACGCCCTCGTCCTTAAGGATAATGATCCTCTCCCCGATGGAAATCTCGAAGGGTCCTTTCGAAAATAGCGGCTTGTCCTTCGGCGATTCTCCTCGAACCCTCGATTTTTCAAGCCTTATCGAAACCCTTCTCAACGTTCCTCCGAATCTCGAACAGGCCTCGCGGTCTCTTGGAAGTTCGCCGAAGTGCCGGCTTACGGTGGATTAAGGAAACTCTCATTGTTTCCTAAATAATCGCAGCCGAGTGCGGATGCGAGATGCCATCGTAATTTCAATTCAAGCCTCGGCGTCCAATTAAAGTCGGGAGTCTTTAGCTTTGCGAGTTGCTCTCTTAACACAGAGAGAGAGAGAGAGAGAGAGAGAGAGAGAGAGAGAGAGAGAGAGAGAGAGAGAAAGAGAGGGAGAGTCGAGCCCCGGTTTCGGGAGCACTCTTAATCAGAAGTGCTGAGGCACTTCGGCGTGCCGACTTCCGTTTTCCAGCGTTTCCTTTAATTACCTCGCACGGGGAGTAACCAAGAGAGGGGGAGAGAGAACACGGCCGAACGCGCTCTCTCGCTCCCGTCTTTCATTGATGAAACGTCCTGGAGAGGCTCTCTCTCTTCTTGGGCGAAGCTCCGAGGCTGCAGTCTCCACGGGTACTAACTTCCGGTTCCGGGGAACTAGTCTAATTAGGATCCACGGGTAACAAGCTGTACGGTGCATGAACTGCGTGCCTGGTGAACAATTTCGGGGCTTAGAAGATCCAGGTTCCAGAAACCGAGGATCCCATTCCCGGATTAACCGGGAGTTAAGCCATAACTAGATTTATAACCGAATTAATTTTGCCGAAAAGAAATCCGGAATAATTTTCATGGAAAACCGCTCCGACCAACGCTTCCGAGTGGCTGGGAAATTCTTGCCGGGGAGGGCTGTTATCAAAACACGTGGTTTTTATTTTTATTTTTATTTCCTTTTTCGACGAGGATTTTATTGCTCCTGGGTAATGGAGCAACGTCCATTGCATCATCATTTCCGGGTTTTCCATCTTCGGGCGTGGCCCATTGTCGGAATTCGCAATATCGGAACCGCGAGGAGGTCGTATCATCTGGTACTCTCGCCGACGACGGGGATAAAGCGGTACATCGTCTCTTGGTCGTCGCCGAGCCATGTTAACGATGTAGGAAACTGTATTATTACACGGCTCCGGGTGAACTTCCATAAATCCTGGTTCAGCTGCCGAAAACCGGGGATACGCCGTGCTCGGTTTATTTGAGGAAGCTCCTGCCAAGTTCCGAGGACGCTCCCGCGGACTTAGTGGATCGGAAAGACAGGGAAAAGAAGATGGAACGAAATGCTCGGGTTTCTCTCCGCATTTCCGGGGCTGAACCACTCGGGTGAGGAATGAGGAACCGCGGGAAAATTTATAACATTATACTTTTAAAAATGCAACAACGGACGAACACAGCCGTCGTCTTTTTGCCCCGCTCTCCTTGGAGCTCTCGTTTCAGGGAAAATTGGGAAAAATTCGAGGGAAAAAATAATGGAGGAAAAGTAAGGTAACCAGAAATGCCCCTAAATATGTCCGCCAGATCTCCGAATCGTTTCCGGCGAGGAGGCACGATGTCATAGCGAGCTTTCGAAGATTTCTGCAGAGCCAGCAAGAAGAGGCGAAGCATCCCTCGATTCCTCCTAAGCGATTCCCGGAGCTCTGCTCTTTCCCGTTTTTCCGCTCTCCTGCTTTCCATCTGGTTTTTCTCCAGCCGCGTTCCTCCTTTTTCGCTGGCCGCCTACCCGTCCGCGTCTTCTTTCTTTTTCGAAAAACAAAAAAGAAAAGAAAGGAAATACGGATACACGGCCTTCGCGTCGGAAATGATGCATGCAGATGCATTCGTGTGATTTCCTGGACCCTTCGAGCCGCGCAGGAGTTTTCGAACGTTCCGACGGTTTCTGCTTCTTTAAATTTTAAAAATATTTCCGCTCGACTAGGATTCTCGGTTTAGTCGGCTCAAGGTGGAGTGCATTTCTCTGCGGACGGTTTCGGGGAACGCGCGGCCCTTATCTTCTATCATCCTTGTTTTCTTCTCATTTCCCCTTAATGCGCCTTGCGACGGCTTGTTCCGGACTGGAACAATTCCCTACATCCGGAAACTTAAAGAATTTTTCTGCCACGGAGGGCTTTATTGAGGAACTTTAAAATATGTTGACCGTAAAGAGGAGCCTATCTGGCGCAGTCCCGGCATGCCAAAAACTTTTCCCGAAAGTGGCCCACCTCGCAAAAAGTCTCCATCAAAGGCCAATTCCATTTGAGCCCGATCGAGCGAGCTTTCCTGTCGCGGGCTATAAAAAGACTTAAGGAGCCGGAAGCCCACCCAGAACTTCCACGAAAATTCAGATTAGAAGATGCCCTGGAGACTACCCTCGTATCAACCCCGGACTCTCTCCCACATTTGGCTGCGATAACGTGGAAAATTAGAAAAAATATCCCCCGACGTTTTTAATATAAATTGAGGAAAGAACTTATTCCACCAAAGAAATATTTCTTTGAACGAATAATAATTTGACTGAAATAAGCGGAAATTGTCATCATTCCAAAGAAATCCAATTCATTCGAGTTTGAGTCATACGATTATTCCTTGAATTAACAAAATATTTCTTTGTTACTATTGAAAAAAAAAGTGTTTCTTTGATTCAATGAAATGTTTTTTCTCCAAATGTACTCTCCACTGGAGAAACTCTACAGGCTACTCAATGGGCGTTTTATCGTTCCTTCGTAAACTCTTAAAGTGATATGAAAGTGTCATATATACATACCAGAAAGTCAAAATATATATAAAACTTTTCTCCAAATTGGGAGCACCGAATCATTTGAAACTCCATCGCAAAATTAACGAGGCCCTAAGAAAGAACGCGATGCTCGTGAAATTTCATTTTTCTAATAAAAAAAAATGTGTATTTGTCTCGGACAAGAACCAAAAAGACATTTTTTTCTTTAATGAACTTTCACAAACATCATGTTCTTCATCCGGGCCTCCATAATTACGTGTTAACTTTTCAGATAATCCGGTGCATCCAGTTTGGAGAAAAGCTTTATAAATATTTTGACGTTTTTATATATTAAAAATGACTCTTTCATATCACCTTAACACCTCTTTGTAATATAATCCCGTACTCGGTGGACAAGCGTTCCTCAAGATCGGTCGAAAGGCCTGGAGTTCTGACACTCGGCGGGAAAATACAGATTTTCCGGTCTGGTTGCTCAGGAAGGGCTCAGGGAACGAGGGGGAAATTAACTCCGGGAAAATGGAGGCCTCGCTGTGCAAACGCGCTCTCAGCCGTCTCTCCTCGACGCGCGATCTTTACATCGGCCATTGTCACGGCAGTTAACGCGCGCACTTTGCGGGGGGTATCGAAGTACCTGGGGACTTCGAAGTAGAAGCGAAGATCTCATCCGACAGTTGGCATGGTACTTCGCCCGTGAAGCCAGAAACCGATGTACAAACCGAGAAAGTCCACCCCTAGGGAGGGGGCCGAACTTTCCGGAGCCCGGAGGGCAGGAAAAGTTTCCATCGCGGTATTTCTCCGCGTCGGGAAGCCAAATCTTGGGGAATCCAGCCTCACGGGCGACCCCGGGATTGATCGGCCCGCTAAACGCGTACACGAGGACGAATTTATAGTGGAGATAAATTCCAGCACTCGGGAGAAACATCCTGGACTTTTTCCTCCCCTCACCGAGGGCGGAAACTCAAGACTCGCCCGGCTTAATGTATCCCGGAAAATTTGTCGGAGGAAAATTCGCAGGGGTTGACGGATAAGCAGGGCGATGGACGGTGGATGTTTCATTGAGTTCCCAGGCCGAGGCATCGGAGCAGAAGCCGATCGATCTTGAAGTTGATGGACTCTAGGCAGTAGAGTGCAAACGCTAGGCTATTCTTAGCGGACAAGGAACTTGCACCCATAGTCTTCGGGCTTTGGAGTTTCGAGTCTAGAGATCCGCACCCTCCCACGCACCCACACGAGCGTGAAACGTGCACTTCCGCCCATACCCTGTAAATACCTTGCAAATACCTTGCGAATACCCCGCAATTACACCAACGGACCGGATCCGCAAGTAGAACTCGACAATAGAGTCAGACGAAACCGTACTCCACGCACGGGAGAAAAGAAATTTGCACCTTCAGCAAAGGACAACATTACTGATCAATTTTTCCTCTTACTGCAGGTATAATTGCACCGGACACAAAAATATTTGTAATCATTGGAAACGGTTTCTGTAGAGAACATGCTTCCTAAATTAGCGAGTGAATTCCCAGCAGCAGCCAGAAAAATATTGTTGTCTCTATTCGAACACGTGAGGGATATGCAATTTGTTGCTAGAAAAGAGTAGGTATTGCAAACGCGAATAGAATTTGCATTGCCAAGGTAAAGTAATCGCCTTTTTCTTTTCGTTCTCAATATAACAAAAATATTTTCGGATAGAAATTTCGCTGGTCCATTTTCAGACGTTCATATTTGTCGAAGCAAGTTAGAATTTCTTGTTATGATTGTGATTTCTTTTTCCGTGTGCATCGAGTGGTAGCGCTCGGTACATGGTCAGACATTTTGCGCGACCCAGCCCCGAGTTCGACTTTTAATGACGCCTTGCTTCGAATTTCCAGCGGAGGCAGGAATGGCCGCAGCAGCGGAGATGAAGCAACCGGAAGAGAGGACCGAAGAGGAGAAAATGGCGCTGCTGGGGAGGCCGAGGTTAGGGGAGGTCTCTCGAGCCCAGATCAGGATCAAGGAGTCCAAGGAGTTCAAGAATACGGTGGACAAGCTGGTCCAACGAGCCAATGCTTCGATCCTCCTCGGTAAGTTCTCCTTCTGTATCTTCCACCTTTATTTCCTTCGCCACCTCGACCTCCGGGAAACCTCCACGGCCCCCCCTCGATTTTTTGAATATCTTTTTTCCTCGGGTTTGCCGTATAAAAAGGAACTCCCTCTCTCGGTTTTTCATTCGTAAATAAAAATAACGAAGTGCCCGAAAAGTACCGGGGGGTGGGAGAGGGCGGGATGGAGAGGGAAAAGGAAAAAGAGATCGATGTTAGCCTCGGTTTCTTTTTGCGCCACACGCGTCCTCGCTGCGAAAGGGAGGTCGAGGGGCTGATGAGGTCGAAACGGCTGGAATGTAAAGAGTGAACGTGGAAAATCGCGCTAACGACGCCCGGAAAGCCGTGGAGGAGGAGAGACGATTGACAAGACGCGTCGGTGGGAGAGAGACGGCTGCCGAGGGCCAAGGGCACGGAAGACGAAGAGCGAAGGCAGGAAAGAGTGAAACCCGCTAAAGGGGATGAATTCGAGCGTTTACGACGACGCATTTCTTTTTCCGAATTTTTTTTAGAATTATTTGTTAAAAGTGAAATATTGGATCGAAGAGGAAGAGTTAAACTACGCGGAAGGAAACTTTAATTTCGGCTGGCAAGGATTTCGCGAAAGTCGAGGCCGGAGGTAAAGGAAAATTTGTTGAACCCAGGGGAATCCTTTGTAGGCCTTGACTTCCTCTTGTTCGGAATTAGATTTATTCAATGGTATGCAGGTTTATGCAAACGTAGTCAAAATAAGACAGTCGCTTATCGATTCGTCTGGCTCGAGGCGAGAATCCAATTGGGTCCGTTTTATTTCCACGGATTAAAAGCGCTCTCCTTTTATTCTCCCACGCGGGATTAACAGTGTCAATGCAAAACGCGTCCGCTTCGCGCCTTTTTTCGAATACTTTATGTCGAGCTTTTCAATTTCTGAAAACCCATCCGCAAGAGAGGGACTCGGAATTTCTTCGCCCGACGTTCCCTCGCTGAGGGATAATTTATTATTCAAGGGTCTAGAATCTATGCAAACGCGGATAATTGTACGTTTATTCCCCGGCACCGGGATTTAATATTCAATTTTGTTTCCATTACACAAATTAAGGCATTATCTTTTCGAGCCTTTCAACGAGAATACCCCTAACTTGGTAGGTTAATTCAAAATTAACGCAAATGTCGAGTTCGCTTCGTCTCGCGCGATAAAAAGGGGGGGCGTTTATCGTCCGTGAAAGATCCGCCGAGCCACTAAAAGTCTGTCGCGCTCCGCGAAAATTCCTCTGGAAGGTATAAAGACCGCTTTACTCGGGGCTGTAACCTTCCCTTACACGCCGAGTCAGCTGCAATTCAATTGCGCGCAATTGTACGCGAATGTAAACGATAATCGCGCATCGATTCCTCCCAGTCGAACCGGGACTCCAAATGGTTGCATTTCCCTTCTGTAAGTTCAATCCGTTCGAGTCTCCCCGTAACTCCCCTTAAATTCCCTCTTCCCCGTTTTTTGTATTGTAGCCCATACCCCCGAACTCGAATTAAAACGCCCGCAAAACTCGAATTTCCCTTTCCTTCGTCACGAGGCTGAATCGGAGTGTCCCGCTGCGAAGAAAAGGGTGAACGGAAGAAAGTGAACGGGGTTAGGAGAGATGGCAGATACGCATGAGCGTGACCGATATTGCCCGTCTATTTCTCTTCCATTTCGCTTCCATTTATCCCGGAGTGCGGGATAATCTCTCTACTTCGCGGAACCATCGCCTCTCCATTACTCCAGTGGCCGCGTTCCCGAGTTAGGAGTCCAGGAACGAGGCACTCGATCTGGGTCAACCCTCGTTACCCCTCCAGGACCCTAGGTCCTGCGGCCTCCTCGAAAAGTCACGTCCGTCTCGAAGTCAAGGCTCGATTCGTCCTTCGAGGGACCCACCCTCGAGCCTCGAAAGATCAGCCGCTCCCTCGGGAATCCCTCGAAGCGGTCCTTCCCCGGAAATGACGTCGCCAAGAGGGTGTCCAGGTTGCCTCGAAGGACCTCCGAAGGACCTCGGGACTTCACTTTCCACCGGACACTCGGGAACCCGGGAACTCCGGAATTCCATGCTCTCCTCCGATCCTCCACCCTCGACGAAGCCCAGCCAAATGGAACCATCCATCACGCCGGAGAAAAAATGAGTAACCATCTCCCCGACTGTGATTAAATTCCAGTAGCACGATAAGCCCCGTGTTATCTGGCTCGTTTCGTCGGCTTGTCCGTTACTCTATCGTGCCTCTTATTTTATTATTTCTCCGGGGCCAATCCCGCGGCAGTAAGACGCGAAACGTTCATTTCCGGAGCCCGGGGGCTATAAACCCGAGGTATTTCAATTTTCTTACTTCCGGGCGCACTTGGCGGCACTTTATATTTCCCAGCCGCGCGCAAGGACCCGCCGTAAATTACGGAATTTGATTAACGCGAAATCGTTATCGAAGTCCCGAGCGCGATCGGGACCTCGGACACCTGGGCCAGGAGGGGTACCCCGGCCCCCTGGGGGGTAATTTCCGATCGTCGGGGCAAAACCGATTACGCCGCTCGTTAATGTCGCCACCTAAGACACTAACCAGAGGAATCCCCGTAGGAACGAGCTCCTGGAAGGAACAGTTCACGGAAGCCCTTACCGTGAGCGGCGGCGACGGCGAGGAAGAGGGCGAGGGGGGATCCTCCTCGCCATCACCTGCGGACTATCTCATGCACTCCCTCACCATATTCTGGAAGGTGCTCTTCGCCTTCGTTCCACCTACCGGTAAGTACGTTTCTCTTTGTTGCTCCCACCCGCGGGGCTGCGACTCCCTCTCGCTCCCTCTCGCCGGAGACTACATCCTTCTTCGTCGCTCCCACCTGCGGGTAAGTGCATCTCTCCTCGTCGCTCCCACTTGCCGGCGAGCGTGGGCTCTCCGCCGTCTCCGTGTATATGCGAGTATGTCCTTCCTCGTCTCTCCCGCCTCCTGGCCCGTAGGCCTCTCTTTGTCGTCTCGGCCTAAGAGGTACACCTCCGAGAAAGGGACGGATGGAGAGATTAGCCGCGAGATGGCCGGATAGGTAGAAGGGTGGGTCTATGGACGTACATGCGCGATATATATTTACGAGTGGAGCGTATATACGCGTACTTACGCGTACATACGCGTATGTACACATGGGAAGTATATGGACCTGTGGGAGGAGAGATGAATGCGGGACTTGGGGATAGATGGCCAGATAAGTGGATGGACTCTGGGAATTCGGGATGGCTAAATCCATCGAGTGGACGTCCTGGTCCTGTTTGGACTTGATGTATATATGCGCATTTTGGAAGTGCGGCAGGGATCTTTATTTACGGGATTACGGTTTCACTTGGATTCGGATTATATGGAACAATGTACCGCGTGATCGGGGTTTCGTGTCCGTTATCCAAGGCACGGGGGTAATACTCTGTCCAATTCATGATATCCCAAAGCAACGCGTGTATACACTGGGCCTTAAGGTGATGCGAAAGTGGCGTCGAAAAGGTCTCATTTGTAAAACTTATTTCCGATCTAGGCGTACCGAATCGTTTCAGACATTACAATATGAACATGCAGGCTATAAGGATGGTCTCGACACCCATGAAATTTCAATTTCTTGAAAATCTATTTGTAGATATTTAAAAAAAAAGTGTTTATAAAAATTGAAATCCCGCGAGGGGCAGGACCTCTCTTATAGCCTTCATATGCACGTTGTAAAGTTTAGAACGATTGATTCCTCAGATGCCACTTTCACATCCCATGAACGAGGAACCTTCTATGATTCCGAAACAAGTGGTCCAAGGAACTGCATCCCTTGATCTCGCTCGACTCGGAATCGAATCGGACTCGCGTGACAATTTCCTCAGGTCCGCTCTTACCGGGGTGGATTTAGTCTGCTTGGAATTCACCTCGACCTCCCTCTCGAATGCGGAATTTCAAGGAAGTCGAGGCGAGTTCTTTCCTACGTAATAACTCGGGCTCTGGCCTCCGTCAACTTTATAACAAGTTCAGGTGCACCTGAAAAGCCGACATTCCGCTCGACGGAAGACCGATTCGGTCCCTCTGCCGAAGACGACTCTCCGTGACCCCAGAAAGCTTCTCTTTCACCCGACACTCGCAAATTAAAATCGAGGACGGATCCCCTCCCTGATAAGATAAAAAGCACAGATTACCTCATAAATGTACAATATCCCCGGTCGAATCATTTGTCGATTTCTTTTCCCCTCTCTTCTTTACCCCTAACCTACAAGTGCGCCTACCTTGGAGTGCAGATAATCGAACTTGAACTTCGACCGTGACATTTACTGCTCACTTACGAGGAACAACGCCGACCTCTACATACCTCTAGCCTCGTGCCATTTGTTGGGCTGAGATCGAATTCTTTTCTTTTTTTTCTTTTTATGAAGGTAGGACGCCCACGCGTTGGCAGGCTAGATCGAAGGGCAAACGGGAGTAACGACGTCGTTAATTTTCCTACACACGTTAAGGGTAACGGAGCTCCCCTTGGTAAACCGAAGCTATGGCCCCGTCATCGTTGAAAATTTTCGCGGATCTACGTAAATGCGAGCGGGTGTGCACATGAATCTCGTTTACTGGTCCGGGATGATCCTAATGGGCGCAGTTGGCAGGCTTTATGACTGCGTAAAATCCCACGGTTAATTTCAACAAACTCGACAACCGAGGACACACGGGATTAATCGGCGGAGACTGATGCTACGTTAACACGCATTCCATCGAACGAAATTGGAAAATAAAGATTCACTCGGGGAGGGGAAAGAAATGTATCAAGTTGGCGAAGAAGAACGAGACGGTGCCTCGAGGACGAAGAGACGTCTCGATGATCTCAAAGACCACGAGACAAGGATAATAACCGCGGTGTCTTCAAAGGCAAGAGAGGAGATCCACCTGCTCCGAAATACTCGACTCACCAGCCACGACGTCTCGGTAGGGAAATTGCACGAGCACCGAGATACATTGTTACAGCTCGCGACAAGACGAGAGAGCAGGATTTGCGGTGTTCAGCATGATCGTGAGGTCTTCGGTATCCAGGACCTCTTCTTTCCTTTTTTCCTCCCCTCGGAGGATCTCGGGATAATTAATCTCCGGGGTGGATCTTCCGTCGAGGGATCATTTGCGCGATCGGATCTCTCCATCTCGCAGCCTGCTGGAAGGAGAGAAGGAAGATTCCCGTCGAGGCTCCCTGGGATTTTCCGGCGAGGTCCTTGCGCCTAATTTCGGGAAAAGTGTGCATCCCGGGAATCTTGCCTGAAAACTGGGTCGAGCCGGTGCCCGAAGACGCGAAACGAATCTCGAAATTAAACGGGCCACTCGATGCATCTCGAAATTAAACAGGATGCTCGACGGAACTGCAGCGGGAACGGCGCGGAGGTCCAATCATAAATATTCCTTTTTTTCATCTTGCAAAAAAAGAGAGAGCTAGAGGGAAAAGAGGAAGGAAGGGCGCGGTGATCGATGGAGCTTGATTCTCCTGCTCGCCGGAAATCCGCGCCACACCCAGGACTCCGATGGCTACGGTCCTGTCGGGCTTCCAGGTGGTAAATACCGGACCATCTACCATCTACCACCGTCATATGCATCCCGAATGCTCATCGCCCGTCCTTCGCTTTCCGTTGTAGCCGGTTAGATGTGATTTCTGCGGTTAATTTCCTTCCCCCGCCAGCCCCGCGTTTACCTCGTTCCTCCGCAAATCATCCAAGCGCCATTCGACCCCGGCACTAGGATCGACATTCGAATGGGGTACCTCGACCCAAATGATTGAGGCCAGTGCATTAAAAAAAAAAAGTATAAACCGTCAAAACCCAACCTAAGTTTACTTTACACCTGCTGCACGGAGATCGGGCGTAGATTTAAAAATCCGCGAAGGGTCCTGAAATAGTTCGAATAGTTTATAAGAGATGAATCAGAGGAGACTCGCCCAGAAGCACCCCTTGATGTCTCCGGTGCAATCAACCGAAAAATCGCTCTTTGACTCCAAAGGAGAGGAAGACCATCAGCGAAAGCACTCTTTTCGCTAGTATAAACACCGTGCCAAAATCGGGGGTTGGAGGGTACCGCTTTTCCCCGGGTTCTCCGTTTCTCGGATTTTTTCCCCCCTCGTCAAATGGACGAGAAGCATCCTTGAGTCATTCAGAAGAGGAAGGACGACCTGAAGTCGGGCCGAAAGCTGCGGAAAGAGATGTTAGGATTTTCTGGACGGCTCGGAGGGAACGCCCTCCCCTGGTCGCATCAACGAATAAATCGCAGGGGGAGGTTTGACGATCCTTGAGAAAAATCGCTGGTCCAGGGAGTTTCTGCCCGCCTGAAACAATGATCGATAGATATTATCACCGGCGATTGGACCGATGGCAAGGGCCAGCGGGCAACCAGCCACTTGGACGGATCCGGCTTCTCTCGCCGAGGGAAGTTCGATCTCGCAGTTCGACCTCGAAAGGGGTGGAAAGGTGGAAGAGGGTATCCTCCGGCTCTCTCCCAATGCAAACGGTTCACTTTGCGCTTCTGATTGCCGATAACGATCCGAGCCGAAAGCCCCAGCGATCGGGCGATCATCGGAAATCCCTCCTGCGACTTCCTCCCCATTCAAGCCCCTTTTCCCTAAACCACCCATCTTAAAAAAGTTTCCATCGATTCTTTCGATACCCAGGAAGGCGAAATCCGTCCAATTTCGATATTACGCCGTGTTAAGGTGATACGAAAGGATTATTCTATTAAAAGATTATATAACATCAACATATTTATAAAACTTTTCTCCAAACTGGATGCACCGAATCATTTGAAACCTTAACACACGATTATGGAGGTCCTAAGGAAAAAGGCGATGCTCGTGAAATTTCATTTTTCAACGAAAAATTGTTTATTCATCATAGATTCAAGAGCACATATTATTTTTTTTTAATGAAATTTTATGAGCATCACGTTCCTTCTGAAGGCTTCGATAATCACTAGCTGAGGCTTCAAATGATTCGGTGCACCCAGTTTCGAAAACAGTTTTATATACATATTGACATTTAGAAATATTTTTATATAGAATAACTTTTTCGTAATATTTTAAATTTCCTGGGGAAAAAATGTGGAGTTAGGAAAGAAGCGCTGGCGTTGCTTTGCCTGACTAGGGACGGTCCATTACCACTAGCTCCAAGAATTTCCACTAAAGTCTACTAAAATGTCAGCCCAGAAGTAGCCTGGGGTACTAATTACTCTCCAAAAGAGATGAGATTCCAGATCAATATTAGCCTGGTAATCAGGGCGTCGCCTCGGGAAGATAAGCGCCAACTATTTCTGCCTCCAGGAGGACTCAGGGTGAGAACAACAGGTGCTACTCCACTTGGCTTTGTGAGGCTCCCTTTGAGCGGCTTCCGCCGATTTCGAGGCTCGAACGCTCGCGAGGAATTCATTCGAGACGGTGTCGATATTTCCTTCGCTAATCTCGAAAGCCTCGGCGAGGTCTCCTCGACCCGAGGCGGATAAATACGACCAGAATCTGCGCGAAATTGGAGTAGAATGCACAGAGACCGCGAATAGGGTCGGGTCGCAGGACGAGGTAATCTCGCAGCTACGCGTGCGGTTTTCGCCGAATCTTGCGGGGATTTATGCGCGGTTCTGCCCACCTTGTAATTTTCCGCCTCGAAATTTATGCCGCGAGAGGAACCCCACCTCGGTCAAGGTCCCGATCTCTTGCGGCTCCTCGTACTTCTAATTAATATTAAATCGACCAGCAAGGGAAGGATTAAATCAGAGGTAGATTTATCCAGGATAGATTCACAGATTTTCCAACCAAGCACGGATTTCAAATAGGTCGGATCATTGAGGTTTCCTTCGAATGGAAATAGATGGGACAGTGGAGCCGCAGGAGCTCGAGGGAGAGATTTTATGTGTGGGAGGTGTCACGCCGTGGATTTTCTACGGTTCTACGGTTCTTCCTGTGTTCTACCTTTCCGCGCCATGGAGGCAGCTGCGAAATGACCACTTCGGGAAGGGAAAGGCTAGACGAAGCCCCGACAAAGTGTCGGAAGCAGGTCGTAAACGGTCCCGCCCGTTTCGCGCCGGAAACGTAAGGCTCAAAGCTTCCGCAAGGGAGGTCTGGGGAACTTTCATCGGGAAATGCCGTGAAACCTCGTGAAACCCCGTGAACCTCGTGAAACCCCGTGAAACACGGGGGAACGCGTACAGGGATGTATGTCAGGACGTCAGTCCATAATTTCCATAATTTCCCTCGCGCAACCGGGTCACGTTCCTGCGGACGAAACTGGCCAGAGCAGGGGCCGAAGGTACTTGAATACCGAGTACATACACCCGGCACGGAATACCGGATCCTGGATTCAAGGGAACCGATAGCCGTCCACGCGGAATGCAATTCTTGTCCCGCAATGGAAGGCCCCGGGAAACCTAATTTGCCGAGCAAACGGCTGATTTGCGCGGCCATTCCAGTCGCCGCCGCGCGCAATTTTGAGGACCCCTTTCGCAGGTCGCATCCTTAAAAATCACCCAGAAAATATTGCCTCCGATAATACCCATTTACAGATCATCAGAAATCGATGATAAAGGGGAGGAAATATTTTTTTCGGAATTTATTCCCCCCACTGACATGAGTCGCCTGAATGGGAATCAGGAGTCGCGGTCGGGGAATGGTCAGACGACATTGAAACTGAAATTTATGTCGATCCCTCAGATAAATCGTTACATAGATCGTGATATTAACTAAAATAAAAGTTAATAAATAAAAAGAAGAGCCTCGAGAAAGGTGTACCTACCCTGAGAAAAAGACTTCATCGAACCAAAGAGATATGTTTTTTATGCAATGAATTTTGTTTCTCAGTGTATGAGTATTTCTTTTTTAAATAAAACTCAAGAAAAAGTCGCCTCTCGATGTAGTCAATGTATAGGACGTGTCTTAACTAAAATAATAATTGGTTAATTAAAAAGCCTCGAAAAAGTTGGATGACGGTAGAGCGTAAGTTTACTTACATACATTTCTTTTTTACATAACACTGATGGAATATTCGCCTCGCGATAGTCAACGCATGGGATCCGAAACTCCTGGTTATCTTCCTCGCAAACTGAGGTGGATACGGTGCTTCTCGTGAGATTACTTTTCCCGGGAGATCCCGGGGAGTGATATGTGTGCATTACACGAGCAAACTATGCAACCGAATCACGACGTGTGCGACTAACACACGTCGGGCCCCGCAAAATCCGATAACGACGCAGACCGTGATGCTTGGGTTTCGAGTTAACCTGGGATGTACGAGCACACGTGTATTTGGCGGTCGCTATCGAGGCTAGTACAACAGCCCTACGTACTCTGGTTGAAGTGATTGATAAGCGGCACTTCGACAGCCCTTCATCGACCCCGGGCCCTCGACGTTAACGCGTCGTTAACGTCCACCCGTGAAGAACGCCTGTATCACTCGTAAATCGCGAGGAGTAACAATTTTTTACGCACTCCCCGGTCGCCCTAGGAGATGATAAATTCTCCCCTGAAACCCGCACAGAAGAGGATAGATGGAAAAAAAAGAAGAAGTACCAGAGTCGGATGCTGCGTCCCCCTTCGCGCCAGGAAATCCCGATGGCTCGAATTGTAAGCAGTCACGAAAATCGTAAAAAATGCCGGCCAGCTTTTACACGCCCCTTTACCGCCCTCTTTACGACATCCCCGAGGTTACGGCTTCTCTGGACATTCCGGATATTATGTTAATGGCGAAAAAAAAATTTGTGGAGACCCTTGGACGACACCGAAACGGCGGTATAAATTCGGAGAGCCCTGTTTCGCGGTTATGGATCTGTAAATAAGTTACGTGGGGAGGTTCTTTCCTCGTTATCGAGTCGCGGGTGAAGTCGTTCCGAGTTCTTAATATCGGCTGATTTTGTGGATGTCGGCGACGAAACTATGCCGTAATAAGTGGAGGGTGTGTACGAAGAAGTGGAATTACTCGGGTCGCGGGTTACCCGCTAAATCCGAATATTCCGACCTGGTAATCGCATAACGAACTGTCGGCCAAGCCGAGTGGTTAATGCCGCGCAACCTTTGGAGTAAAACAGGATTTCCAGGGTTCCGAAGGAACATCCAGCAGTAGGTTCCGCCCAGCGAAGTGCGGTCCGACCGGGAACTTCGAGGAAGTTTCCTCGACCGAGGCCGGAAGCTCGTTTTCGACGGGCCGGAAATGCGCTTTTCGGATCGCCCAACGAATCCCCGGCGAACTTGACAGCCCTTACAATGCGCATCCCTCCTTCCTCGAGGAATCCAACGGACGGTGATTCTCTCATTGTTTCCTGAAAAATAAATTTTTCCTTGGGAGAGAAATAAATGAAAAAAAAAAGCCGTCGACGCTTTTCGCTTCCAACCCGCGCGGAATTTTTTTGCGCGGCTTTAAATCCTCCCGAAAAAAAGTGTCGCGGTATTCCCCCTCGTGTGTATTCGATTTATAAAAATCTACTCGTCGACGGGAGAGGGTTAAAGTGCACCCCCCCGGCAACGCGGAGAACCTTTTACCTCGTCCCGGGAGCACGAGGTTGGCACGAGTCGCCTTTCGCACCTCCCTTGGCTCTCTTTAACGATCCACCTGTTCTTCTATCGAGCAACCTGTTGACCGGATTGATCGGGTTGCAGATATCGCCGGAGGCTACCTGTGTTTTGTGGTGAGCATATTTGGCATCGGCGTCGTCACGGCGGTGATCGGCGACGTGGCTTCCTATTTCGGCTGCACCCTTGGCATCAAAGATTCCGTCACCGCGGTGGTCTTCGTTGCCCTCGGCACCAGCATCCCCGGTAAGTGCTCTTATCTCATATCTTTATACGAGGGAGTATTCACTCAAAACTTAGTGAAAACGATTTCCTTCTTTAAGAACCGTTTGCCATTGATTTCATTAGATAAAGAACAATGCGATTCGGTAACAGGTGACAATCGGCCTTAAAATTGTGACCGCGAAGTAGGTTAAAGAGATACAACGGAGATAAAATCCATGATTTCTCCAGTGAATAAGCCCTTGTCTTTATACCACCCCAAAATGTCAAACTTTCCCTAGTACCAAAGATAAAAAAAGACTCTGAAAATCTCGAAAAAAGAAAAATGGACAATGCGACGAATAACTACCCGTGCATTATTTTCTCTTCAAAGTCGTTTCTTCTCATGACAGTTTCAACCTCGGTTGATCGCGAGGCTTTACCGTCGTACCTGGTTTTACTTGGTGGTTTACTTGGTACTTGGCGCGAGACTCGACCCAGTCTCTTGATTGCCCGGGGTAGAAAATTCGGGAAAGATTGTGCAAATATTTACCTTTCAGAGGGGGCGACATCGAGTCGGCCGGCGACGCCATCTGGGCCGATCGATCGACCGGATCGAACATCCGGACATCCGTATGTCGCATCCGGTTATCCGAATATCCGGGGATTCGCGTGTGCGGCATTCGTCGTCGGCCAGGCGCATTATTCCGACGTTAATCGAGCAATCCCATGGCTCGTTAATTGGACCCAAGTCACGCGACGCATCCAAATATCGAGCTTTCGCCCCTGACACCCTGTCGGGCCACGGACTCGTTTACGCGGTCGGCTTTACTGCCAAGAGATTCCCCTGGAAGTCGTTTGCTCGATTCGACGATCTACGATAGCGCCTCCGGCGGTTCATTAGCGACGAGATGAAAATGGAAATGCGTTTTTCCTTCGGAATCCACCGACCGGAGATGCCCATTTCTCGTGATAAAAAAAAAAAGAATTAGGGATTAAATCATGAGAGCCATTTTGTAAAATCAGTCGCGACATGGAGAGCTTTGGGCCTCGTTAAAATTTATTTGACACGAGATCGCCGAACAATGGCAATTCGAATAACGATTCTCACGCGCCGAGCGCGTCTGGAGCGTCGCCGACTCCCTGGGGGCGTTTTATTAGCGTAAAATTCATCCGAGGTAATTTTCCGGGATTTTCTCGGCTACTTCGAGAGTCGCCCCGTGAGCCCGAGCCGGGGATAATATAATGCCAATAACCGGGCGTAATTGCAGGGCGAGGTGCTGAAAGTGTCCTCGGCCTCTTCTCGGATTCCCGGAAGCTTCCCGAAGCGACGTCCGAAAATCCTCCTTACGGTAAACTAAGGGTAGAGCAGGGTGCAAGGCTTGGTACTTAATCGTCTCCGCAATTACCATTAATAACGGCCCGACAAGGGGCAGTCGGAAGTTGAAAGTGAGGAAAACAAATGGAAACCGAGAAAGCCGAGTGCACCATAATGGCGGCCAGGGGGCAAGACGGAGGAGCGCATTTGATCGGGCAGGTGGCAGACGAGTCGGCCTCGAGATGAAATTTAGAGGGGCCAATTTGCCGATTGGCGATCGATCCCATCAACTCTCTTCGTGGTTTCCACTGGCAACGGGATTTCTCGAAAATATTGGCCCCGATGCCAAGTGACTCCCCAAGACCCGACCCGTTGACTCGAAGGGGCCGCTGAAAAGCGAGTGTTGTTTCGGTAAATACCACTTTGGACCGGCTCCGGATGCTGGAAAAGCGCAAACGAGCCACCCAGTGGTTTTCAAGGGGATGTGTCATCGAGAGAGAGAGGGCTCGGACGCGTAAAGGGGTCGTTTGCGGAGAAGTTACCCCTCGATACGACGAGATAGGTTCCGCTATCTCGGAATGGAGTGTGCTCCCGTTTCGTTCCACGTTTTCTACCACTAGCCGTCCCCACAAAATCTCTCGCATTTCGGGTCCTGCAGTTTAATTCCTCGTTTCTGATACCGACACCAACCCTGAGGAAGGGAGGATTTTCCGAGTAGTGGGGGAAAAATTGAGAAATATTAAAAGGAACGAAGTGGACCGATTACAAGTGGCTGTCATTGTCTCGTCGACGCGATGCAGAGGGTGCAGCGGGTATAATTATACTACAGCATAAATTATCCAGTGTTTTCAATAACGCCGAATGGCGACACGCTCTTCGGAGGACGGGACATTCATTTCTGAGGCACTCCAAAGTGATGAACCTCCCCCGGACACTCAGCGACCCGATTCAATGGCTGCAACTCAAGGAAGGAATTGCACCGTTAAATATTTATCGTCTCGTTCGGGCGAGGCGGTATATTGTTTACGGCGCGATTTAGGGCGCATGAAAATGGCACGAATTATTGATACATTTCGATCACTGGCGTTGCCAAATTCGGTCGCCAGTCGGCATCCAAAATGGCGGCCTTTTGTACCGAATGGAATCGCAAGGTGGAGAGAGACGCGTTCTAAAATGGCGGACTTTCCAAAGAATCCCTTTCTCCAGGTGTGCCAGTCGATTTTACGGCGCATAAATTTTGGCAGTGAGTCTTTGAGATCTCGGCTCAGGTCGAACTGGATAAAAAGCCAAAAGGCAAAAAGCTCGAGGAATGCACGCTCTCCCGAGGCTTGCCAGAAGTGGCAGCCATTGTTTCGCCGACACAATGCTGTCGAAATAATGAGTTATCGCGCCGCATAAATTATTCAGCGTTTCGGAAACGCATCTGCCCCGTCCTCCTCTGAATGGGCCAGACATGTACTTGAACGATAAACCATCCATTCGCAAAGGCACTCGAACGCGAAGTATCGAGCACCGACATTACTGAGCCGCAATGAAACGCAAACAAAGCGACGTAAAGGAGAGACCAAAGGAAATTACCCGACCCGGTATATGAATTTACTCGAACAGCGGAAGACATCTCAAAACCAAGGAAACGATTGCTCCGTGATCATTTATAATGCATACCTTGGCAATTTCTGTAACGTTAAAACTTCGACGAGTTAGAGTGGTGATAGTCTCAAAGGCTGGGAAATTTTCGAAAACTCTCTTTTTTAGAGAAGACACAGAAATTGGAGCAAATCGATCGGACGTCGAAGGAAACTTGAGAACCCGATCTGCTGGGGAAAAAAAAAGTCATTTCGGGTTTCTTCTTCCACTCGCGCGATGAATGGTAGGAACCAAGATGGCCGCGGTTTGGGGAGGACGAAGGGTCTCCAACAAGACTTTCCCATTTCCATTATCCGAGTTCCCGGGGAGTTATTGGGATCCCTCATAAATACTCGGGAAACCGCCCTGGCCAGGTACGTACCTATGTCCCGGTAACTAATTCCAACTTTCGGGTGGCGAGATCTCGCGAAAAGTGCTAAGACTTCCGGGCCGACGACCGCGGGGAATCCTTCGCCGGATCCGGCAGCGCGCCAAACACACCCTGGTAATAATCGCACTTGAGAATCGCAGGGATCGCGACAAATTGCGCAAACGAGAGCCAATTGTTCGCCCCCGGAGAGGGCGATAACTAATTCGGGATTCCGGCTCCTTTCTGCGACTCTGGACGCGATCCGGGGAAATCATCACGGGCACATTCCCCGAGTGGAATTCCTTCAAATTCTCGTTCGCAAGATGAAACTTGAAAAATCTTCCGCCTCGCAAAAAAGGGATAGATATCGAGGAAGATTCTGGGTAATTTGTGTAAAGTAGAATTGGCTAGGAATTAGAGATAAATGGAGGTCGGATGTAGCGTGCATTATGGGCGACGTTCGGTCCATCAACGTTGGTGCCACTTTGGCCGATTTTGAACGGATTTTCAGACTCGTCCGATTCGTGTAACATAAATGAAAGGAGGGGAAAGAAGAATGGAGAAAATGTAATACCCGAGGATTGCGATTCGAGCCAGGGGTTTCGCATAGAAATTCTAAACCCACGGAGATCCGAGCGACACCCGAGAGGATGCTGCATCCATCCAAGTGGCACTTCGCTAGTTCCAGGGAGCGCCGCGACGCGAGGCGACGTAAATATTTATGAGATTACGTGTGAGAATTTGGAGGAGGATCCCCCGGAAGCCAGGAAGTAGTCGATATCGAGCGGAGAGCCGAAATAATCCACGGAAAGGGATGCGAACGAGCGGATGGACCGCCATGACGAGGTCGTTTAGCCGCGGTAGTCCGCCTCGGTTCGCTAATTTTTCTCCCTCGCCTTCTGCGACGGACAGAAAATATTTCCCCGATTTCTCGGTTAATTGCGATTTCCTCGATAATATTATTTTCCCTGCCGCGAAACGAAACCGCGTCGACCGAGTTTTGGAGCCCGAGTTTGCCCATTAATTCGACCCTGCCGTCCAGAACTGCGCGCGATTCCCCGGGAAATAAAGCGCCTCGAGGTGTCTCGGAGAATTACAGCTTCCCAATCCATAAACTCTAGAATTAACGCAAATCGGGTGAACCATATTCCAGATAACCGTTATATGGATATCGGGTACCGCCACCGCTCGTTCCCCCATTCGCTAAAATTTCTAAAAACTTCCTAAAGATTTCCAGATTCCCCAAGATTTCAAAGCTTCCACTCCTAGGGAGCATTCTGCCATTTCATAGTAAATCAACTGATCTCTCTCTCTCCCTCCTCTTACTCTCGTCGATTTATCATTTTTATTCCCTTCTTTCTCTCTTCTTTTTCTGCCTATTCTGTTTTCTCTTTGTGGGTTTACGCGTGGACCCGGGTGATCTGGCTCGAAACCAGGTCCGAGATTGTCTCAGGTTGTCCCTAAATTGATTTCAGACACGTTCGCGAGCAAGGTGGCAGCCTGCCAGGACAAGTACGCGGACGCCAGTGTAGGCAACGTGACCGGAAGTAATGCGGTGAACGTCTTCCTGGGCATCGGCATCGCGTGGAGCATCGCCGCTATCTACCATGCCTGCCACGGTGAACAGTTCCTGGTGGAACCCGGCAAGTCAGTACTCCCGACGAGGTTTACCCTTGCCTTTATTTACCTTTATTTACCCTAATTTACCCTTCGACGTCGTTTCCACGCGTGCTAGGATTTACGACGACGAGCTTCCGAGTTTCTGCCATCATGGCGGAGCCAGATAGGAATCGGAGCCATAGATCGTCGGTTGCTGTTTCCGCGATCGGCGGGTGAAAAAAAGAAAATACAACAAGTATTAAATGAAAGTAGTTTCCACGACCCGGGATATCGAGCTTCGAGACTCATCTCTAATTTTAAATTATGGAAAATTATTTATCCCGTACACTGACTGGTAATGCGATATAATGGGGGCGTTACTCAAGCCGCGGGAAAAATATGGTTTCCGGGTGCAATATGGCTAAAATGGCGACCGTCCCCGTTTTCGCGAAATTCCTCGGGATGGAATATATTACTCGCCCGCCGGAATATTCTTAACCCGTGTTTGCAGAAAGAGAAAATAAACCGACCGGTCCTGAAGTATGGACGCGATGAAACTGCCTTCCGCGTCCCGGCAGAAGGGAACGCGATGATCCCGATTGTTCCCAGAAGTTCGGACGTGAACGGATTCCCGAGGGGAGTTGCGTTCGTGACCGGGGACTCAAGGAATGCGATTATGTCATCGTTAATACTGCAATCGAGGCAACTCGAGATCGCGATAAATTCTCGGCTCCTACGGAAACGAGCCTCCGCCTCGTAACGTCGGGCGTCGAAAACGAGGATGAACTTGATCGCCATTTTGCCACTTTCCGAATGTCGAAACACCGGGAAAAAAGATGTCCAATTCTGCTCGAAGCACCTCGGAGGGAACGATTTCCGGATTAGTCAGCGTTCCCTCGCGGAATACGAATTTTCTGGGAGACATTTTAGACGTGCATTGTGGAGGAGATCGGTAAGCTGCATCCAAAAGTTCCCAAGTCGTTAAAAATGCACCCCGTGTCTTTTGATGAGCTTAGACTCTTTCTCGAGGGCTGTAATAGATTTCAAGTTATTAACAAACTCCATTGAGATGCATGGTGCGAGTTGCCTTACTCGTTTAAATTCTCATCGTGATTTCTTTTTCGCTTAAATACATGCTAAAAAAATAAAGATTAAATTAATTGCAAAAAATGTGCAGGTGACAGATCGCGGTTAGACGGTAATTAAATCACGTGCACTTGGATTATTTCTATTTTAAGTATTCTTTGGAACAAGAAGCTTGATTTATATCCTCTTTGCTGTTTTTATCCCCTCATGTTTTCGAGCCATTTCGGGGTTATATACGACGAGGGAAGGGTTTTGTATCACGCTCCGCGATGTTCGCTTAAAACCTGAGAGCATTACGTTATCCGTATGCGCATACGTTGAAAGCTGATCGCAAGTTGGGTCTGCAGGGCGCTGCATTACCGGCCCGGTTATCCGCGCCCAGATGTCGCCGTAATGGCGATCCTAGGTGCTCTTATCATAAATGAATAGCGAGGAGAATTTGAAATTATTGCCTCAAAGAAGGGAGCGCCCAACATCCGGCGACTCCTACCCCCGAAAATTCGGGAAATCTCGGATTTTCCCGACTCCTCGCAAACAACTTCCCCCGAGTCCATATTCCCCGAATTGCAGGGATCTCCCTTTAATACAGAAATAACAAATATTTATATCGATCGCGATACTTCCGGGACAAATGAGAAACTTTACACATATATCGTAAACGAGGTTCTTGAAAGGATGTCACGAATAAAATTCTCTCTCCATTCCTATTTTATTTTTTGGATAATTGATTTTCACTTCCCATTGCCCCACTTGTCGCTCTAAGGTGAGACGTCAAATAACCTTTGACGAGCACAACCCAAACCCTCTTTCTTGGGGTCGAAATGCGACCCAGTTTCACCCCTTATTGTCGGAAGACCTTTGCGATCCCTCGCCAAAATTCGATCTCACGCAGGAAACTTTACCATCGACACGCATAGCTTGCCTGTGGATCTGATACGCGGTAAGGCTGATCCAAAAGAAAGGGGAGAAACTTTTACAATGCCTATGCCTCCCTCTCTTCCTATAGCCCCTCCTTCCTCCGAGATCGTCACGATTAAACGCGTTATTGCGCGGGTTTATCACAAAAAGATGCTTGTCGTTCGTAATAACCTGGATTTACGAGTGCATGAAAAGAGGCAAGAGGAGGGTCGAGCTTCCTGGTGGATTTTAGCGCTGAATCTAATCTACCCGAGCTTACGCGATTTCCTATTAAAAGCGAAGCCGCGGTGAACGTTCAAGCTCCAAGGTTTCCTCCCACGCACAGGAGCCGGGAAGCTGTGGATGGACCGAAATCGAAATCGTTCGAGCGAGCTGCGGTTTAAGAATACTTGTTCAACTCTCCGCTGTTATACCGCTTCCCCCGCAGTACGTGAAGCCGCTTAATGGGGGAAACTTTCCCCCTAACTCGTTACTCTCGCAAAAAGATTCTCCGGTGGAGATTTTCTAGCAGCTTAGTAGGGGATGATCTGTAGTTCTACCCTTTAGAACGGCGTGTAACGAGGATGGAATTTCCATGTTCGCAGCCTGGCCTTCTCCGTGACGTTGTTCTGCACGGAGGCCTGCCTGGTGATCCTGGTCCTGATGCTGAGGCGGACGAAGGCCATCGGCGGCGAGCTGGGCGGGCCCTTCATGCCGAAACTCGTGACATCGGTGATCCTCTTCTCTCTCTGGGTCTTCTACCTCATCATGTCCACCCTCGAGGCCTATGGCGTAATCCAGGGCTTCTAAAACCGCGTGTGCCACACCATGGCCTATCTGCTGCGTACACTTATTCTCTTCTACTGTGCGCCAAGGCGTATGCTCAAGGAAACGTTTATTCGGCAAGTAGACGATGAGATCACGACTCCACCCTGGAAGAGCAAACAAAATTCAATATGGCGTCGCAAGACCGAGAAAGCCTAAGTTTCCCTCTAGTAGTGCACCCCTTTTAATGATCACACCAGGTAATTATTGTACGCTAGAAATTGGACGTGCAATCGTTATCCGGGGGGGAGGAAAGTGGATGCCGAAATAAGGGGAAAAAGAATTAATATTCGAAGGTACCTTGGCACCTGTTTCAGGTTCAGGTGGACCGAGAGAAGAGACTTGCGAAACGGGGAAGGACTCGCCAGGACTCGGTGCCGGAAGGAGCAACCGTCGATTACAACGAGCGTGATTGTGCGTGAACGCGTGCGTGGGAGCGAGAGAGTGTCGATGAAACGTGCGTGCCAGTCGCGATCAAAGGTGATCTGCCTTACAACGTCTAGTCGCGTCGCCCCGTATCGAGTGGCGGCCATGTTGATATGAATGTAATATCGGATGAATTTAATTTAAGGAGCCACAGGTTTGTATGATATTTTAGTAGCGAACTATATTTGCAGATATTCCTTTTACGATAGAGAACGACGATCGCTAATTTTATATTCTTTTAAAGGCGACTTTCTCTCACTTTCTCACTTTCTCTCTCTTTGTCTCGTTCCATCCTGTCTCCGTTAGCGGAAGCCCAGGAGACAGCTTAGGTAGGATGTCGGTAATGTAGGCATCCGGCATCGCGGTGTCCCTCGAAGGTAACTCGGGGTAGTATTTTCAATTGAAAAAAGGAAATAACGAGAATTATCTATGGTAGAGATTATTTACTTAAAAAAAGTATATACGTAGTTTGGGGAGGGAGGTTCGCGTGGTTCCTTCTTTAACCTAGGAGAAGGGGGGCGCAGAAATAAGATTCCTTGGCAGCGTCTCTTCCGAAACACGTTTCTTTGCGACGAGGGGCGTCGCGACATCCAACCCTGATCGCCGAGAAGAAGAGTCGAGCGACCGAGAGGGAACAAGAAAATCAATGAAAGAAGAACAAGGACTTCCGAGGCCCTCGAAACGAGACGAGCGAAACTCGTCCCGAACTTTTTGGTAGAGAAATTTCATTTTCCTCGAGGTGAGGCATTTCAAGAAAGGGAGGACGATGTCACGCTCGGAGATCTCTGGAGGGTCGTTTCGATCCTTTACGACGACGTCACGTCCGTCGATAGTAAAAATTCAGACCCAGGAAACTGAAAGAAGCCTGCGAATTACTTTATATGATCCATGTAACGATAATGTAAGCCCAACTAGTCGCGGCACTTCCTGTAACCACCGGAAACGAGATTCTTCACCTGCCGCTCGCGTTCTCCAAAATGGCGGACCGCGATGGCAGCTGGACGGTCAAATCTCGAACGTAGGATCAACTAGCACCGAGTATCGCAACTCGGGGTGATATTTAGCTGCAACTGCAAGCCGTAGACTATTTTCGAGAACTCTGATCTGCCCACGCCGAGTTTTTCTTTAAATCTCCATTCCCTAAAGGAAAGGGAGAGCAGAATTGACGAGACGCCGCTGAGAGACTTACAACGCGGAATGACGTAACCGAGAACTTTCAACAAAATAAATGTCCTCCCTAGAACTGGAAGTCTGCCGACGACGTGGCGTCTCTCGGGACGCCCCTAGACGTGGAAGGCGTCGTGAGACGCCGCCGAGACGCTGACACTCGTCGATACGTCGTCAGGTGTCGCACGAGACACTGTGCCGAATCAAAAAGAGTTAAGCCGAGAAGACGAATCGGAGAAGAGAGGCACTTATCAAAATTCATCCAAAGCGTAAACCCAGCTTGCGGAAGAACCAAACCGTGGAGACTTAGTTTATAAAGGCACTGGTTTAAGGTTGAAAAATATTCTGCTCTCGATCCTTCTTCATTTGGAGATGACGTCGACTGTGCCTCTCCGATCCTATTTCCTCGCCTCGGCTGAAACGAAAAGTAGCGTAAGGTTACTCGTTGTTAAGCATAGGGTAAAGCTTAGGTAGAAATACGGGCAAGTCAAAGAAACGCACTGGGTGCGTCTTAAAGGAGCGGCTCTCGTCCAACGGCGCAAGTTTCTCGTTGCTCTCCTCTGCTTTTGGTCGAGAGCCGTCGAAAAAGCTCGCCAAAATCCCGCAATCGGCGAGGCTCGAATAAGCGATCCTAAGTCGTTGCCGTTGGTAGCACTAGCTATTACTTCAATGTGTTCATACGTGCATATACCCCCTATAAATATATGTATATATGAATGTTCGTAGATTACAAAATTAGCGTACCTAGGCATAAGTCACGCGCTTCGAGGGCCAGTCCCGAGATGTCGTCGCACGGCCGTTTCTCGCGAGCGAGTCGCCGCCTCGGAGCGATCGCCATTAAATGCTCATTTAAACGCCCTAAACCCTAGGATAACGACTTACCATTAATGCGGCAGTTAAATTCGTGTCCCATGAGCCTCGATCAGGGAGCTCGACACCTATAACCGCCTGGAAGAATTTTAATTAAAGATTTTAATCGCTGGTGCTTTTAGGTGATCTCAATGATCGTCTATTACTATCGATACTCTTCGATTCGATAGAAGTTAACGTGCAGAGGGTAATTGGACAAGTGCAAGTCGTGTTGGGCAATATAAAAAATTTATAAAAATGAATTAATTAATAGAAATTCATCTCGAGGAGAAAAATGGTTTAAAGGCCTCGATTTCGCGTAACTCGCGGGAGTTTCGTCGCCAGATTCTTTTAGCACCAGTGACTCGAGAATTTTCTCCTGAGCGGTAAAAAGAGGAAAGTGAAAAAATCGTGTAAACGGCTCCAATGGCGAAGCATTACCCCGAGGGGTAATGGCGAATCGCGGCATTAATGAACCATGCCGAATACGGGGTTGTGTCAAAGCACTCGCGTTTCTGACTGAGAAATTTAATTTCGCACGCCTCTTTGCTCTCCTAACCGAGAGCACCGCGTCGCTTCATGTATATTACCTTACGGAAAATGGTTTCCCTACGGCTTACTAGGAGTGAGATTTCTAAAACGGTTAATATAACCGAGCGCTTCGTTCCGTGGAAAGGTAAGCCGAGAAATTTTTCAGGATTCCTTTCGGAAAGTAAGCTCGTTTGAATTCGTATCTATCAATTTTTGAAAGAACGAGATCCCGGTATTTCTCCATTTTTGCCCAGAGCACGGTCTTCTTCCCTCGACTTTTGAAACCCTCGAGAATGGCCGGCTTACTTCACGAATATATATTTTTATTTATCAAACTATTTAGAGAGGGAAAACGTCGAGCAGGAACGGAGAGGTAGGAGTACCTCGCGATAAACCGTAAAACCTCCTCGTTGCGATATTCCAGAGCGAGCACTTCGTGCTGCAAGCTGTGGATTTCGAGGGGAGGACAATTTTTACACGCTCGATCGTAAAACCGTCCTGAAAGCAATACCGGAAGGGACGGAACGAAAAATAGAGGAAAACGGATATAAAAGAAAACTCCTGATCGATCGTCTTCGACGTTGGAATGACTTCCTACGAGACGTGCTCAGTGTGTACAAAATGTATTCCAGCATACAATTTACGAAGGAAAACTAGTAGTTAGCAAACAATAACTTTAAAACGAAGCGTTACTCTTTTCGAACCTCGGGACCGTAAATCTAGAGCGGCAAAGAAAAGAAATCCGCTTTTTCGAAACGACCACTTCGTACACGAATTCCGAAGAAAATCGGCGTTAAATGCGATTTAAAAAGAGATATTACAGTATGGACAGAGAAAAAGATTCGCAATATTGTCTTTATGACACGTAAGCTCTGCCGTATCCACTGACTCAACGTCTTTTATCTCTCGTTTTTCTCCTTTCCTTTTTTCTCGATAGACACGAAGGAAGATAAAGAACCCGGCATTTTGGAGCGAGCAATTTCGAGCGCTTTCTGAAAGGGTCGGCGACGTAAAATCGATCGAAAGTCGATCCGGAATCGTTTATCCATTTTCAATCGCTCCGAGGCGAACGGCCGCTCACGATATGTCGCGATCGAAGTAAATAACGACACGCCGTTATTACACGCGTTGTATCTAGGCATTACATTCTAACGTGAAGTATACCGTAGACTGGAACGAGGTATCGATACGTGGAGATATATCCAGAAAGAAAAAAAAAACGTCTTACACGTAGACCTAGAATCCTCTTCTAACTCGTAGGCTCTATTACGCGTATATTACCTTGAACCTCCGAACTCGCTTCGTCTTCGGTGTCGTGAGTCGTAGGATTATCCACTAAACTAGACTGTCACCGACAAGCACTGTTAACCAGATCAGCGAGTTTCGATTCCTGATCGCGAAGCTTTAATCAAAGTATTTACCGACGATTCGTCTTTACGCGGCCAGCCCGAAATTGCGTCTTGAGGGAAAAAAAGAAAAAGGGCAATCGACTGTCAAGCCAAATCGAGAGATCGTTTGGACGTTATACAAAGGACCAAGAGTAAACGGAAACATGTCCCCTCTGTACTGCCCCGATTACTTTTCCAGTTGGCCGAAAGGATCCTTGAATGATTCCTAAGGTCTTAACGGTCGAAATAGTCAGTCAGATTAAATATTAAATATCGATGAACAGTACCGCGCCGACTGGACGTTTTTACTCTCTCGTAGGAATAGAAATCTTAAGTCCGATGAGTACCGACACGGCGTAAAAGTTTATTACAGAAGTGTTCGCCCGGGATCTCTTATGCCCGGGATTTACCCTGGGAAACGTCGGTGAAACGAATCGGTTAATTCGCAGATTGACGTTAACATATCAATTGAAAATTGAGATTCCATAAATGTCGAGTTGCCTCGAGTGTCGGCAGGTTTCACCGGCGTTCCTTTCTACTTACAAACGACGTTTACAAAGTTAGGCGAGCTCGCCTCGCGGTTAGACTACCGTTCGATCGGTGGGAATAGAAATTTGATATCGCTTCCATTGGGTATCAATGGATCGGCCCGAATGTCGGATCACTAAAGCTGGCCGCAAGGATCAGCTGTATTAATGGTCCTGAGTTTCTTCGTCCCCTCTATCCTGCGTAAAGTTTAACTATTGTCCGACTTCCTTTCAATAGATATCCCAGAAACTTTAGCCGCCCTCCGGGGGAACTTGGGCCATTGTCGAGTCCGCGGAATTAATATTTTCCATATCCTCGTCCTACACGCGAATCGACCAATCGTTAGACAAAAATTTCTATCTGGACCAAACGATTAGCCAAGGTGATCGCACCAACAATGAACACCCACCCGAAGGAAAAAAGTGATCGTCTCTAGTAATTAACAAACATTGCCATTTATTGGCGTTTTACTTCAACATTGTCCACATATTCGCGTGAACCGTTGAACAGCACTTCCAAACCTCTCAATGTCTCCACCTCTCCTTTAATTTCGAGAATTTGTCCTAGTTCTTATAAAATTGAATTTCTCTACGAAAACCAAAAAGAAAAAAAAGAAACATTCACTCCGTGCCCAGTGCACGGGTTTGCTTTCAACGCTTCTCGCGCGGGCCAATAAATGATAAACAAACGAGTAGATTAAAACCAACCGGCCAATTTCGATAATTATTTTAAATAATCGAGACGTGGTCTCGTTTCATTGATTGCGGGCTGGCTGCGGAAACCTTTTTTGTAAATATACACTCTTACAGTTTCTATTCACTTTACCGAATTCTCTCCGAGACTACTCGTTGCGATTACGCTCTCTCAAGATATATCCAAACTCTTCGAGCTATCCTCTTGAATCTCTTTACAAGGTAGACGAGAACGTAGAACCTATTTCGACTACAGAAACTAATTGAAGTCCCAGGCCGGCCCGATCGATCGGTTCGATCGCAGGCAGATCGCAAACGACCGAGCGAGGTCTGGCGGAGATTTAAAATGAATACTTAAGGGAGAATAAAAAGGAAAAAGGGAAGATAGAGAGATGCATGAATTCTCCAGCGACTCGGCGAGCCCTGTGAATCCTCTGGAATTCGAGGTGATGTCGGACGGAAAAATGAAAATCGAAGACGTTGTGCGCGGTCGATTATTAGCGGTATAAACATCGCGGGGTAATTACGGGGGAATAATTGAAAACGTGAAACGATATTGCCTGGGGCAGCACATTAAACCTGCGTTTTGTACAGTTACTTGAACATTCTGCTCATGAGTAGAAGAGATATATAGATATTTATATATATATAGATATATACATAGGTGTATATATATATACATTGTTGTGTTAATGCATAGTATAAATATAATTGCATGTACGTCTACACGGCGACTCTCCGGCGGTACGACTAGGATAATAAATAAAATCACACGATAATTATGGGATCGCCGGCGACGGTGTCGCTTTTGACATCGCCCACGGTGTTCGGTTAAATGTTTGCGAAGACAATTTTACAAAATCGAGCTCCGGAAGCTCAGACCATCCCCCCGTTAGATGTTTCGAAAGCTGGGGCAAACTCTTCAAGTTCGAGCCTTATATTTGCCGTGCCCCCGATCGAAGTGTAGAACGAGATTAGCTCTCTGGCGTAATTACCCAAAGGCAGCCTGTCCTGTAAAATCGGAAACGTAAACGTATATTTTTTACGTTAAAACTACGTAAACGAGCTCACACCGCCGGAGAGTCCCTCTGTAAACAGGTGTTATGCATGATAAAGGAGATCGTTTCTTTCCCTCATTGCTCGAAATCGTTCCAGGAAATCGTTGCGCCGTGCATTATAACATAAATATACATATATTTTTCTTGTACATAGGGACGGGCGATTCCGAAGGTATCGTTCGCACGCGACGACGGCGATCTCGTCAGATTGCGTTTTATCGTTCCTCGGCGGGTCCTCGAGACCCCCACAGTCCTTAAAATCGGTCGAAAAAACCGAAACTCTGACCTGGCGATTCACTTTCGACATAATTGGAGATCGGATTTTCACTTTCCGAGAGCCTTCCTCCGCCTCTGCGGCACCGGTCGCCTCTCTCCTCTCGAATTCCGGAAATTGCCGCGATAGAATTGAAAAGTAGCCGGTGAATATCAATCGGGTCTCTTTTTATTCCAGATCCCCTGCAGTCGGGCAATTCTGCGAAAGTAATCGTTCCGTTTATCGACGGGATGATTACTCCTTAGAATTTATTAGCACGAAAGAGTGACTTTTATTGAAAAGAGAAATTTTTAACAAGTTTCCCAACTGCTGATAAACGAGTCCTCAGCCCCTTGCAAAACTTCCTTACTGGCGGAATCTAAAGAAAAATGGGAGGGAAAAAGTATGAACAGCCTTCGACGAAGGATTACAAAAAGTATTCGTTCGCGAAAGAAATATTTCTTTCGAGGACCTGTGCTGCAAGTGCCGAGGAAATTCTTTCGGATGCTACATCCGATCTCTAGGCATAAGACTTCATTTATGATTAACTCAGACTAACTTAGTGGGAAATCAGTCGATATATGCTCATCGTTTGTAAAGTACTTGACAGTTCCCTTATTGACAGTACAATTAATTTCTTTCCGATCGCCCATCGCCACGATCATTCGATCTTTCTCTCTCTCTCTCACTTTCTTTCTCTCCTCTCTCATACAGGGATCTATTGTTTATAATATTTCCAAGTCGTAGGTATAAAAACCGAATCTTAAGTGACATACTTAAAAGCCTCGAATATACAGATCCCGGGTAGCGGGCGTTATAAAAGAAAGATTTGTAATCATTGTTGGCTAACGGTAGAGTGGCGAATAACCGTGAGAACTTAATTATATTTTAATTGATTAATTTAAGACGTAGGTGTAGTTAATTTTCCGCGACGGGGTAGATCTTAAGGCGTTAGAGCGTAAGGGTTATTCCTAGTCAGGAAGTGTTACTTTCGACTTTTTCCGACTTTTTTATCAAGAAAGAAGAACCGGTGACGAGATTCGCGGTAGAGAGCCGACATGATTATTACGTAGAACTATGTAAGTAGTTTTAAATCAGTTAAGCCTCGCGTTGTCCTCTCGTATAAGTCTTGAATTTGTACAGAACCATTCCTTTAATCCCGCAGAGAGGAGAGAAAAAAATATATCCCTTCCGTCGTCACCACGAACATATATCGTACAACGAATCGAACTTACGTTAGGTTTACTTTCGCAAGATAACCGACTGAGAGCGCGTGAAAAAGTTCGGAACAACGGTGAGCACGAGATTGGCCATTGCAAAGACTTTCAAAGTCGTATCGAGTTCAAAAATGGTCACTAAACACTTTTCCCTTCTGCCTGGACATGTCTTACCATGTAAGAGACGCCGGCGGTATGTAAATGTCCATCAACGAAATTTGAGACCGTCAGTGTTAATATTTTATTTTATCTTTAAAAACCTACATGCGAATTCGAAAGACTTTAATGGCCATTTTCGACCGCATTGTGAACGGCGCCAACTTCCGGCAAAGTCCGGCCGCCAAGAGTAACCGAAAAGGGCAACAAAAGGGCAGAAAACAATGTGGAAACGGTGGGAAACGCTATCCTGTAGGAGCGATCCCGGGCTTTCCGGAAGTTCCCGTCCGCAAACCGGAAGCTACTAACGGGGCGACACCGGCTTCAACTTCCGGCAGAAGCTTCGCGCGTTAAAACAACGCGAAACCTGCAGGGGACCGCAGAAATCCGCGATTCGGCGAAACTTGTCCAACTTTTCCTCGGCCTTCCAAAAATCCGAATGCCTCGAGGAATCGTTATGCCCTCTCGGGAAATTCCAGAGAATAAAATTGCGTCAAATTGCGGATTTTCGCGAATTTCCCGACGAGTTTCGCGGCAGCCGGGTCGTCTAGAGAACACGGAACCATGGATCGAAAAACGCTTCGCGCCTATATTCTGTCTTTGTTGCGAGCATTATTTTCGTGGCACGAATCAGTCGCGTTTTCAGAAACCCCGAGGTCCGAGAAGTTGGAAATTCGATTGAAAATTTTCAGGAAATTAATGCTCGACCCACGAAATCCGGCTCCGGGGTTTCTGAGAACCCGGCCAGGCTGCCGGAGGATGTTAATTGTTGACGATCTCGTTAAAAGATATATATATAGAAATATATCCCTGCGAGAAGTTGCGATGACTTTGCGGGAGGTAGATAGGCGAAATTCTCGAGAATCGAGAACTGCGAGGGCGCACTCGCCAATTCGGTAGCGCAAATCGAGCTTTCGGCGAAATTCGACTCGAAATGAGTACGACTCGTGCTGGCAAGAAATGCCCGCTGAACGGAGAGCGAAAGTCCTGATCTAATCAGGGGGACACTTTCGAAAACGTAACTTCGAGTTCTTGGCAAAAGGCGCTAAAATTGGTTAGCTCGATTTTCCCGCATTCCCGTGGGATTGATAAATCGACTTCCTCTTCTTGTCCACGATTAAACGACACGATGCAGTGTCGGGGTCCTTTATTCGCAGTGCCCCATCTTTTGTCATTTCGTTGACTTCATTGAAACTTGCCGGTGGAAAGTGTAATTGGCGGAATCACGGGAGACGAAATTTTGCCGAGAACTCGGGCTGATCTTCCGCTGACGTGTATAGATCTTCCAAAGATCGTGCGAGTAAATCGACGAGAGAGACTGGACATCGTTGACGGACACGGGGCACGTTCGCGTGCTTAGGAGTAAAAGCAAAACAAAACTGAGAGAGAATAAGAATCAATTAATTGTAATTGAATTGAAAGTGCAAAATATACATACATTAAATGTTGTTTACACGAGAGGCTGGAAGGCGGTGGAGAAGACCCTACCATCACGTTGACCCACCCTAACAAATTATACAATTAAGACTTAAACAGCTCGGAAACAATTATAACAATGTCAAAAATTACCAATCTAAGGTCTAGAAGAATTATCGCAAGCATTAATCGCGTTCCTCGCATGAAGTGATTTTCATCCTACCATGATAGAAGTAGTCTCAGATGTGTCTTTACCTGTCCCTCGCGTGACGTGTCGTTAAGTTGCTAATTGTAAGTGGCCATTGACTGAAGCCTCGAGCAGGTCTGCATTTAACTTGCACACTAGGCGTGCAATTTTAAGCGGCATCTAAAGTGCCCCCTTTGCTTTTATTTACCTCGGAGACAGGAGGAAGTCGTTCCGGCCGGGGAGGAGTGCAATTAAGTTAGACTGTGCATAATGAATAACGTAAAGGTACCGGGAAGAGCAACGCGATTTACGGGGCGAAAAAACGCTTAGTGCTGTTGGCCAAGCCTAGAGTATTACCGCCTCCCAAGGGATCCTTTTAATAATTCCTTCTCGCTCCGGGGAAAGTGAAATTACCCGGACATTTAACCGACTCGCCGAAACTCACCATGCAGCGATTACTGCGAATTCATTTCCATCGAACCCCCGCTCCACTCCTGCAGTTTCTTGTGCCAAAATCAATTTTCGGGCCAGTCCTCACCCGATGCAGGGTTCTCTTCGGTCAGTTTTTCGTCTAAAATATTTGAAAAGTCATTACCATCATAGCAGTGATAAGAGAGGGAAGAAAATCTTCTATGATAACATTGATCCCCTTTATCTTTCTACCAAGCCATCGTTTATGCTTTCTCAGCAATAGAGTGCAATGGAAAATCCTCGGATGGAATGAATCAGCAGATAGGAACTTGTTGCGATCGAGATTAGATCGATCTAGAAGGTCTAGTCTTTGTTTGTTTACCCTGAAATTCTCTCAGATAAATTCCACAGACTCCTGTACATGTAAAGTTTATCCGTTTGTCCTCGGTAATACTTGTTTGGGAAAATAAGATGAAGGATTACTCCCGCCCTACCGTTCCCGCCTGATCTTATTCTGTCCCTAACGTGTTTGCTTCATCGTCCCTTTGGCCGAGAGTGATTAAAATAATTGTTTCTTCTGTCAGCGTTAATCCTGAGGTATCGTATCTTATTATTCAACGCTTTATCGCGGAAAATTGCGTTTCCCCCGCTATTTTTCCTCCTAATAGATATCGGACTTGACTTATGTGCTCGACGAGCGTGTTTTCCTAAAACGCGCCCTAATACCCGAGATAATTATTAAATTAAATAACAAACAGAATTACGTTCATCGATATGTCACGATATCTCGAAGGTTCCAAGTGAGATGAGTTATAGTGTTTATGCAAATATCCATATTATCGCGAGATACCGATTAGTTGTGGAGATCGGTTCGAATAATGCTGACGCCACGGAATGGAAAAAAAATGGCTGCGGTTACGTAGACGATAGGAACGGCTGTAAGAGCACGTCCACTAAAGATAGAGGCGCAAACCTTAGAATCGCCAGGGCGTCGGATCAAACGAAAGCTTTAAGACGGTTTTCATCGTCTTTTCATGACGCGCGTATTCCCCACGATACGCTCCACTTGGCGCAAAGAACCAGGGTCGCGTTATATCATCCTGCAACCCCGCGTTGCCCTCTGGTCCAGTGACTCGAAAGCCTCCGAATCGTCCTTCGCCGATAACGACATATCTCTATTCCATCCTGATTTCCTTCCGCTATTTTCTGGATCCAAACAAGACAGCTTGCAAATCCGTTCCTGAGCCTTCGTCACTATAAAACTGCTCCGTATCAACTGATTGATAAGACCGCTCGGAAGGGGACCTCTCGGGTCCAGCATCCATTAGCGCTCGTCACTCGCGAGTGACGTTGACAAGCAGAGCAAAACGACGAAAACCTCTGCCCAATTAAAGTCCCCCATCGTCAGCAGAATTATCTCTTTACGATCGTAACATCGTACATCTTCGAAACTCCCATCCTTGGCGGATCTCTTGGTGGTATCGTACCCTCGTCGTAACAAAATTCTTCCTGGTTCACGCATTGATAAGGGGGATCCCATTTTTTCCTGCGTTAAAAACTTTAACGAATTAATGAGACCCGCGACCTAAGGTCAAGGCTGGCCGAACTAGCCCAAGGCCAGTACCAAAATGGCTGCGGTGGCCTCTTGAGCCATCTCGAATCGGCGCCTCTGGGCCAGCGAGACTCCCCAACATGGAGTCACCGATAAGAGATCGACCACGAGGCCTCTTTCGATCAGCAGCCACTCGCTCGTCACTCGCGCTTGTGTGACGAATGACGAACCAACGGCTGCAAGAAAGCCGAAGACGAGAAGCGAGAATCCTCAGTCGCGCGCGGTCGTCACGGCTGAATAAGACCAGTCTTCTGTCATATCGCGGAAAGTCGGGAACCCGAGTACGCACGTCCGACCGGTAATGGCATTCGCTGGCAATAGCCAACGAACACCGGCAGAAAAATCCCAGCCACGGTTCTCTCGATGCGAAGCTTCGAGGACTCTCACGAGGACTTCAACGAACGCAAACTGCACTGTCAACCAATTTTCCCGGGTACGGTATCTCTGTTTTCATATTTAAAAATCGCGATCACGTGGAAAGACATTCATTTCTTTTTTTATTTCCACTGATATTAAAACTTTTCACGGTCCGTATGGAATAAATCCCTTTTCTATGAATAATTTAGGGCTTAACTTTGGGTTTAACCGTTTAACTTTGGATTTCTGATTTAACTGTGTAATTGCTAATGATTAAGGGGATAATTGTTTACAGTGAGGTTTGAAAATAAGCCGGGGATTGCGGGGGGACAATCGAGGCACCCGAGACTCTAGAGGCCTCAGAGCGACGGCTTTGTTAGTCACCATATGAACTGCTAAAGAATTAACAACGGACTACCCTACTTCCCAAGAATGACGTCCAACGAGAAGACTTATCTCCTTGGCCGCGGAGCTGCTCTCCACGATGTCGTTGTTTTGAGCCAGACGAACAAGATCGACTACGAACGAGGTTTGTTGGAACGAACTCTGCCATCTTGAGAATCGAGTTTCCCCCTAAAAAATAATATTCCTTACTAACAATGCAGTGAAAAAAATTGATTATCGTTTTAAACCGTATTTCCCAAAGTATCGCATTATATTGTTGTAGAATTCTGCACTTTTACGCGAATTTTAATGGTCTTTTGTGGGAGGTCGTTTCATACTACAGTGAAATGTCGATTATCTGGAATATCGAATGACATGTATCAGAGTAAGTACAGAGAATCTTGGTTATGAGAAATGTAGACCATAACAATATAAGATTATCGGTCACCGGCAGCTAATTCTTTGCAACTGTTAGAGCTATTTATAGACTACCAGCCTCTGTGACATATGTCGTGAGCATGTATAAAATGAGTGTAAAGAGATAAGATGTATTTCTGTCTAGCGGGGATATAATTATAGCGGAATTAAAGGTTCTACGTATAATTGGAAAGAAACAAAATTAAATATTTGTATGACATGTTTACATTGGAAAAAAATTCAGAGACAATGGAATGGCTTGTACTTGGATTAAAAGACGTGGGTTTATCTAAAAGTATACGATTAACCTCGGTTAATTGTCTCCTTGGCCTAAGATAAAATTGTTTTTTCTTTGGAACAATCCGGAATCTACTTCTGATTTATTCAGTCCTATTAGGGGTGTAATGCCTTATTTTCTAAGTACCTCGGATAATCGATGTTCCACTGTGCTAAACGGTGTTAAATAATTAAACGAAGACGCTTAACAGAATGTCCTTAATTTGAGTAAATCCCAGTTCAATCCAAATGAACCTTCTCGTTTCAATTAAAATTTACAAGCATTTTGGCCAACGATAGCTGCCTGTAATAAAACATTTTAATTAAAATGCCCAAGTCGTGGGAAGCGATTCGGTCGAAGCTTCATTGCATCAAACCAAACCTCCATTAATTCAACTAAATTTCAGTCGAATCGACTGTTCAAACTGGGTACTACATACAAATCATCTCATTGCCAACTCACGGCCCAATCGATTACCCAATTCCAAATCAACTCCAGTCAAATCTGTGCGTCTAGAATTGATCAAACCGAAGTTCAATTTTAATCAGCGGCCTACCACTGCTTCATCGAAGTTTAATGGATTCTAGGAAATTTCGTTTCGATACATTATATATAAGGAGAATTACATTCTCGTAGCAGCGCTTTCATTTTGAACCCGTTAAGTTAAATAACAGCTATATTAGGATTAATACACAACCGTTTTCATCGGTACTTTAAATGTACACATCCATTTCAACGTTTTGCGAAGCGCGCTTTTCTGTTGCACGAATCTCATTTTGTGATAAATTTAAGTGAAACAGTGTTTAATCGACAAGCAACCATCGAGTGTACACTGACCATTTCTTGCAGAACTGACGCGAGAGGACTTGGAGTACAACACAGCGCACCCTGCGTGGATAAGTATTCGTTTATGTTTGTTTTGGATGTTCTGGGCAGTGTTAATTGCGGTTCTGTTCCTTTCGATTTTCGTATACTGTTGCGTATGCCCGGTCACTTGTATGGACTCGGTACACCAGTAATAAGCGTAAGTACCAATGCTCCGTGCAAAATTTCCACTAGAAAAAATAAATTCGTCTATAACAATGTTCGATACAACGAATATTTACCAAGAAATTTATTCCAGGGAAATCGATTTAAGAAGAGGCCCGCCAATTTCCAGCAACGAATCCACGAAGTATGATATGTGGGAGATTTAAGCCCTTCTACTTGGAACCAAGCGTTGCCAGCTAAAGAACAAAAGAGGAAATAGATCGATGCTGAGAATATTACACGCTCTGTGCAGAGCTTTTATTTTATTATATACTGGAATTCGACGATTGCGAGCCGTCATAACATAAAGCGCGCAAATATACAGAAATACATCATGTTTACGTACGCTTCTACAACTGATACGATACGCGTATTGTTGATAGCGTTTAAGCGCAGTCCTGTCTCTAAGTCGTTGAATAAACGTTTCGTGAATATAGCCAAAACTGAGTGTCATTCGCCGTCCTTCGAAAATTTTGTTTACCCCATTGAGTGATGGGATAGCGCTGGCTCCTTTTTCTTTTCATTCCATTTTAAACGTGCTCGTTACTTGAATGCGCCAATACCAAGAATTCTTGCATCAGCGAGTGATTAAACATTAAGTGAGGTTGCATAATATCTATCCAATTGTCCCTTCAATTTAGGAGTAATTAAAAATTAGGCAGGGAAAGCATGTACAAAAAATCCTGTTTTTAGTTTAACGGGTCAAAATGAACAACGCTCCTAAAGCGCGCCTGAATGCAATCTTTTTTCCACTTTTTCCCGCCAAGAATGTTGAATTTTAAGCTCTATACCCGATCTGCGCGCGCAGAAAAAGCTCTGTACATCCGAGCAATAAGACATCCTGCAACGCGAAGAAAATGATCATCGTAAATCATAAAACGTGCCAATTTCTTAAATATTCCATGAAAATACAATACTGAACATATATAAAAAAAGCATACATTCAGCGTGATTTCCGTTGTTCTTTTCAAGAATTTTGAATTCCATCGTACGTTTTCTAAAGACACGTTCCTATTGGCTGAGAGCTGTAAACGCCTTCAAAAATAGGATCCGAACGCAGTACGCGCGCCACCCATAAATGACATTCTTGAACTCTAAAAGTATTCATTAGAAAAATAATTATCATAATCTCTTCTCAGGGTCATTACCCACGTCTTATTTACCTTCCGTACCGTCATCTCCCACCGACTAGTCAAATTTAAATTCATTAATCTCCTGGTGACTCTAGGTCACCGCGCACGCGTATCCGAAATGTCGAATGCGCAGACTCCTTCGCGCATCTGCAGAGTGGAGCGCTAGCATCGCGCGTTGCCATTGGCCGAGCACCGCCACGCTCGACTCCGATTGGCCGACGCGTCCTAACTTCGTCCTCTCGATATCGCCGGTCATTGACGCGTCTGCCGCTAACGGCGCTTTCGTTTCTTCAGGTTTCCCGTTGGAGGGGACTCGTACTCTCAGCAAGCGTAGGAACGGCAGCGCGCGCTTAGTCCCCGGTTACATAAGGTCGTCTGTACGCTCCATCCTCGAGGTCATCGCGATGGAGAGTGGGAGGGTCGACTTAGATAGCGGGGAGGTGAACCCCACGAAGGAGGCCCAGCTAGTTGCTACCTACAAGCCGTTGCCGGACGACGACTTTAACTGGCAAGCTAACAAGGAAAAGAACGACAAAATGAGCAAACACGCCCCGGACAACGACAATGATGACGGGATCCAGGAGAAAATGCTTAAAGACGAGAATAAGGTCGGCTCGCTCAAAGATGTTACCGAGGTATGCTCCTATCGATTTTCGAACGACTGTTGGCCACGCCGATATGGCCGAATCTTATCTCTTATTGGGTACACTCTCACGAGATCTTTACCTTTCCATGGAATAAATTAGATATTTCTGTTCATTCCTCTTTGGTAATTAGAGAGTTAGGTCATTTTCTTGAAGCTGGAGAAAATCTAATTTAGTGACTTAAATTATATGGAGCCATAATGTTCAATTGTAAAATGTTAATACGCGTTGTGCCAAATGAGTGTGCTAATTGAAAAACGTTTCGTCTTTGTTTGCGCCCAGCTATTCAGGGGCACTGTTGGAAATAATGAAATGTGGCTTTGTCCTTGCATCAGTCATGTTCATTACTGAAAGGATCTGTAAAAACTGAAATAACTTCTTTGAGTTATTGCCACGAACAAAATTATACACGAATGAATACTGGCTGGTCTTCATATTCCTAGCATTCGGAAGTAGGTGATCAGTAGAGTACAATTGTTAGCACCGTGTAGTTCATTCTAAAACTTGTTTCTTACTTGAATTGTTGTTACATCGTTAAAAATAGTATTTCTTGTGGTATTTATTAAACGACGCTGAAGATTACTCTATCTACCATGCTTTGATTAAGTATACGTCTGAAACCTGTTTACCATAATTTTTTATCGTTGGAACGCTTAAGTTAATTTCTGATAGGCGCAATCAATTTCAAAATTGTTTACATTAGATTTTGCATTAAATGAGAAAACATTGTCCAAAGGTGAAGTTCATCTCAGAAAATGGAGATGCAAAGATTGACATAGAAACGGTTAAACAAATAATGTCCGGATTAAGCAAAGAAGAGCTTATGAAATATGCCAATGATCCGTTCTGGGTGCGCTTAAGATGGTTTCTGTTCATTGGATTTTGGCTGTTGTGGGTTGCTATGTTAGCTGGAGCCATAGCCATTATTGTTATGGCACCAAAATGTACCGCGCCGCAACCAAAAAAATTATTTGAAGAAAGTCCCATAGTTCGCTTAGAACCAGCAGACACGCCAAGTAAATCTATTAAGGGATTAGAAAATTTGCTTGATGATTTGAACAAGCAGCATACCAAGGTGATTTCACTGTACTCCGTCGTAAAGTCTACGGTACCTGGTAGGTACATAATTTATGCAAGATAAGGACATAAAATTCAGACTGTAATTATTGTATCTAAGCCTTCTTTTCTCGTAATTCAAGGGCACACTGAGGATTTCAAAGATGTACAGCCACAAGTAGGTCGTATAAACGATTTGCTGGAATTTGTAAAAGCTGCAGGAGAACGAGGAAGTCAAGTCGTTTTAGAACTTGATCCCAATCACTCTTCTGAGAAGCACTCATGGTTTGAGCGATCTGTGAAGAAAGAAGATCCATTCACAGACTACTATGTTTGGGCTGATGGCAAGACTGGCCCTGATGGCATTAAAAATCCTCCAAATAATTGGGTAATTGATTATTTGTAGGTTCTGTTCATTTCGCAGAACCAATAATAGAAACCTAATTGAATAATATGACTGTTTAGCTAAGTGTACACGGTGGCTCTGCATGGGAATGGAACCCAGAAAGGAAACAATATTACCTTCATCAATTCAATAAAACACAACCTGATTTGAATTACAACAATCCATTAGTAGTTGAAGAATTCAGTGTAAGTATAACTATACGTCCTGTGTTTTCGCGTTTTAAATGACTTGTTACTTATAGTATTTTTCATTTTCAGGACATTTTAAGACATTGGCTGCAACTTGGAATTACCGGCTTTAGACTCGGCGGTACACAGTTTTTGACAGAAGATCCAACTTTAGCAGATGAATCATCAGGTACTGAACATGCAGTTGCCGATGACTACGAATCTCTGACACACGTGCACACAAGAAATCGTCTTGAAAATGGAGATGTTTTGCGGAAATGGCGAGAAGTAGTTTCAAATTTCACAAACGGAGAAGGGTGAGTATCTATTTTACCGAAAACGTAAACTGAAATTTCTGGAATGCCTCATATAATATGTTTTCATTACAGATTGTTCGCTCTTCGAGATGATATTGGAGCAGATAATTTGAAAGTATTCAATGAAAAAGAGACGTTAATTGATCTTCCTCAGAGTTCTCAGTTCCTTATTAATGCTAATCAAGCAATTTCTGCTGAAACACTCAAAAAGGGATTCTCCCAATGGCTTGCAAGTGCCCGTTGGCCAGGTTGGGATGTGAGTATTCACATATAAAGCACAATTGCAAAAACTGAATTTATTTACAAATTAATCTTTTCAGCTAAACGGTGAACGTAGAGCTTTGAGGAAACGAGTGCCTAACGACATAGCAGACAGTTTAACTCTGATGAGTCTCCTCTTGCCAGGAACTCCTATTGTGCAGTTGAATGATACTCGTTCCGCAAGTGAGGCGTTTGCCACACTCTCCAAAGCTCGCAGTGGGTCGACGTTCTTGTATGGAGACGTTAATACATACGTCATCAATGGAACCGTGTTTGTCTATACCAGGTAGGCCAAAACTGTAATACTCGGATTTCATTTTTACACAGGGTGTAACATCCTCAAGCATTGGCCCAATCGAATTAACTCTCTACGGACACTTACTGTCCTTTACAAGAGCAAGTCAATTATGAACTCAATTGAGTACATCCCGAGTTATTCTTCCCTCCAAGTGTGTCGTACTAAGCTCACAAGATGACCAAATTTAATCTACCATCACATTCCCCTAATAAATTAACAAACTAATCCAATTTATCCTGTTTTATGGTTGCTTTTCGTGGCAACAGGGATTGGTGAGTTTCAATCCTAACATATCGCATGTCTAGTAATAGCTTTTGTTGCATTTCACGAATACTAACTATATACACTTATTTTATCGGTCTTATATATTTTTCTTTAGAATAAAATATTTCTATTTTGTATAAATTCAGGTTGAAAAGCGGTAATCCTGGATTTCTGGTAGCATATCAGAGTGCTGAAACACTTGCCACAATAGATGTGTCAGGACTACCAAAAGTGCCTGAAGAAGTCACCATCTTTGCACACAGTCCTAATTATGTTCAAAAAGACAATGATATTCAGTAAGTTTTGCGAATTTATTAACAATTTGCCAAAAAAATTCGTTATTCTGCTATACTAAACTTATCTTGTTTCAGAACTAAGCTGTTTTCGAAGGAACTGCCAATAGGACCTAAAAGTACATTGGTCGTTACCTTTGTTCCCAAGAACTAATTGTGATGTCAATTGTGTGGACCATCGATGCATTTCTTTTCGCATTTAAGTTATTCTTAGCTTGGACTTTTTGTTGGCTGAATGCAGCAATTAAATGGAGCATTACAAAAGAATGTATGATGAGTAATGTTTCCCATCCCTATACTTTTTTCATCCAAATATGAAGAATTTTTAGTATAAAAACACTCGAAATATATTTTTCTTACAAAATGGTTCTATATTCAGCGATAATATAAATATTTCTGTACATTAGGTCTTCTATATTTTAATTATGTTTAAAATATCACAGTTTGCTCTACTATTCAGTATGCAGTTTATTGGGGTCAGTAAATCGAGCAGTGAGAATGTAAAATAGTGCTGGTAACGGAACTAAGGCCAACATTGCTGGGTGGAGATTCATTCCACGTAGTGTGGCAACTCCCATTACTCCATACCCATGCAACAACCAGTGGCCAAGAATCACTATTACATTTCTAATATCAGATACAGAATTCAACAGCAGCGATTTCATAGTCTGTAATATAAAAATAACATTAATCTGTGTTCAATGGGTAAAACAAATATGTAATTTCTTACCTGATTCAACCTGAAGGCAAAATGGGTAGCACTAGTTTGTACTGATAAAATTATGGTGATATATGGAAATGAATAATCTGAAATTTGTACATATTAAAATTAACATTCAACATATATACTAATCAATAGATAAGTACTAGATTACTTACATATGAGACCACCACATACTGCATGTAACAATGACAAAATCGGGAAAAAATATAATGCAGCATAAATTGAAAATTTGCCTTCTTTTGGTAAAAATTTCTTAGCTATTATTGGTCGTATTAATAACATAAGTATGATACCAAAGGCATAGAAAACAAAGACCATAGAATAGCTGAAAAGAGATGTAGTCATGTAGTAATGAGTATAAAAATATTAATAGCTTGGTTTTGTAAAAATGAGAGTAATTACAGAGGGTAAACAGCCTCCTGTGTACAATGCAACGTTTCCTCATAATTAGGGCTAGGATTGTGCAGCAATGTATACCAATCAGAAAGACGTTTTACTCTGCATGATCTTATTCCAAATGTACCGATTGGTTCAGTCAATTGCAATGTAACAAGCGACGCAGCAACTATCTCAAACAAAGCTGAGAAGTGCAAAGCTATTACTTCCTTCGTAATATTGCGCCGCATGGCAACCATGTCAATACATGACCAGTGAAGTACAAGTGCCAGTAGGGCCATGAAGCCGAGGTACAACCAATCGTAAAACATTGGTGCATCTTCACAAGGTATGCATATCGAGGAGCCATTTGTTCTGAATCCTCTTGGGCATGCTCCGCAATCACTCCAGTTACCATCGAGTAACAATTCTCTTCCACAGTACAATCCAGGGCAACGAGTCGATATACTTAACATTTTTAATTACGGGTCTTTCACTTTTTATAAGTAAACATTCTGCCAACCATTATTCAAGTGGAGAAAAAGGGACAATGTAAGGTTATGAATCATTCCAAACATTATCACTTTATACTAAACATCCTAATTTTCAACTGACAACTTTAGTAATTATACATTTTATACTTTGTACCTTAAAACCTTAGTACTATTAAATGCTACTGACACTTTGCTCTAAAACAGCCCAAAACAATTCTGACCTTCTGCTTGCGTCAGTTCACGTCAGTTGCAGTAGCTATACTAAGCTATATTGCCGTAATGTTGTAAGAATTATCAATGAAAAATTGTGTGGAACTTCCTAACTGTTCTGACAAGGAAGCAACGGCGATATTGGCAGTTTCTTCGTTATAAATATACATTACCGATAATCTAGAACATTATTCAAGTAATTGTTTATTTACAGATGCTAAATCTGCTTTACCACTTGTTTAACAGGGTTGGTAAGTAAAATACCCTAGGTAATTCGCGTAGTTTTTTTACAGTAAATTACTAGGTATTTTACATCAGGAGGTCTATCACGTAAAGCAAATTGAGCGAAAATGTGAAAAATTAGTGACTGACGATATTACGGAACGTTTTTGGCGGTGAAAATGCAAGAACATTCGTGTGAACTGATTCGGCACATATTTTTTAAGCGAAATAGTGAAGCGTACAAGAAAAGACAGAAAAATAAGCGCCGTGAACGCCATCTTCCACGGATTGTGATACCAAAATTCAAAATGGAAAATCTCCGGGGTGTTTTGATTTTTGGCAACAATCATTCGGGGATGTACTAATAACTTTATTAGAAGAAGAAAGGAATTACGTGATGTCTTAGACCCATTTTCGTGAGAGGAAAGAGAATTTACTAGCATGTACAGGTTAGTTTTTATTATTGCGAGGTTATATTACATTATTAAACATTGAAAACTGTTAAATAATTCATGCTTACATGACATGATAAGAAAATTATATTATAGAACTTCTAATTTTAGAACATGTAAATATGAATAGACTCGAGTCCTCCTTTATTTTTAATAGATCTCTGCTTTTAACGGCTTTCCATCTTCCCGCCTTTCCTGCCTATAACCCACACCTCTCAACAATTTTCGATTTACAAGGTATATACCTTTATTTAGCAATATTACTAGACCGGAAGTGCTAGTGATCTCGTTGTTTCATATAGCGAATACGTGATTCGGCGAATAAACCCACGTGAGATGAAAGTGCGAGAAGTAAGCGCTCTCGTCAAAATACGTAATAAACGCCCAGAGATAAATTGAGAGATCGGTCACGAGCAGGGTCGCGCGATCGCGTCACATGCTGCCCTCTGATAGTCGGTGCGGGCGGCTAACGTACTTGCCACCTGTTACCCCTCAGTGGCGGCGCAACTCATTTCTGGTTTCGGTGCAATCCCCTAAGGATGGCAACCATTAATTATGCATCACTTCATCAACTTTTGATGAACCATTTCAACCAGTTTCAACTTATCACTCTTAGAAATTGTTTTTGGCAAATTTAATTCATATTGCATGAAATATCTTAATATATTTTCTGAAAATGAAAGGTCCCAGGTCAATGACAAAAATTAAGTCATTTTGCTTTCATAATATTAATGGGAATCGCGCGTGATATCTTCATTTTCTCAAAAAGTAATCTTCCAAGAGTGATGAAAATGTAATCAGATCGTGCTATCAGTCCGGTCTTGCTAATTAAAAACCTTGACCAGCGCGAAAGCAATTGCATATCAGGCAATAACTATAGAATTATAGATCGTCGACACGATGAATCACCGATTGCAGATATATCTCTGATCACGCCTTCGTAATATCGTCGCAATGAGACACCTTTTCCACGCAACCTGTGCTCAAAGTCATTCATACTTTCAATGGAAGATACCTCGGGCATTACTTCATACCTCGAATCATTTATTGACGCATTTCAAATATGTCGTCACACATCGTGTCAGCAAAACTAAAACCTCCCTCGCCATTGCGTGTCCCCATTCAATTACATTACCCCGCTTTACAGCTTACGGGATAATGTAATGAGAACGGCCATTAGCCGATGACTTCCGCCTAGTGAGCCCTACATTCTGGAATATCTGGGAATATCATTTAACAGCCTTCGTCGCAACGTAGGCGACGTTAAATATCAAGGGAAATAAAAAGACAGAGCAAACTCTTTATCGACCAATTTTTCTTTTTCACCGATTCCTACTTTGCTGGATTACATAACTATTTCATAAAACATCGTTGCTTAGTGCTAGAGATGAAATTATCGGAGGGGAACAAGGTCTCGCGGTCGTCAGCAATCTTCTCCATTTTGCGCTTCAAGGAAACGATGAGTCACCCCAAGCTTGCCGTTCAATCCACCTCCTTTCAGGTTCGATCGTTTTTAACCTCTTCCTTCCGGCCTCGCTCTGAAGACCGTTCTCTTCCCTCTGCTTCTCCGCCACGCCTCTACGGCGTCGACGCGTCATCCTCCCCCACCAGTTGCTCCTTCCTTCTCCCTCCGACGCCGCCGCTAGTGCTTCTTATTCTGTCTCCTGCCTCGCAGCGCGCTCGAGACGCGCTAACCGCTCAACCGGCGCAGCTTCGCCAGTCGACCACTCCCGTGACTCTACAGTACGTCTACGGTGCCAGTGTCAAGTGCTTCGACTTCAATCTCTACTACCCAAACCAACTTTGTAAGTAAAATTAATTAATCACGGCGTCAGCCTCATGTCTGTTAATTTAAGATCGGTCGCTAGGTATTGGAATTCCAGCAATTCGGACAGAAAAAAAATTACGTCGGGGCCGGTACTGGCGCAGCATCGACGTGTCCACGCGCTTACAGTATTGCGTTTATTTTCGGTACAGTGCCCTTGAATCCACGGTTTATTTGAAATTATCGTTACATAAGACAGCGTTGCAAATATTTGTCTGAATTTATGGGTTGGTTATCGAAATCGAGTTACTTAGAAAGGAGAGCAACGCGAGCGGCGTCGACGTGTCAAACGCTGACACTGTACAGTTTCGGCACTCTGACGCTACTATTAATTATAACTAGTTATATACCACGAGCATAGGATAAGCGTTTGCTGTAATAATTATCGGTTGAGGTTGTTTTTTTGGTTAGTCATCTATTGGCTGGTTCTTGCATTCTTGAGGAAAATGTAAGATATAGTATGATACGGAATGCCGCACTTGTCACCCGCTCCCATGACAGTATTGTCGGTGTTCGTTACCGAGTGCTCCGCATAACTGCATAGTTAATTTTAGACAATTACCCAGTAAAGGAATCCAAGTCCTTCTTAACAGTGTATATGTATTGGTAGTCAATGCAAATTCAGAATGAATTATGTATGAACAGAAATTTGGTCATGTTGGTGAAGTGAAAATAAGGTGCCTGCTATTTTATTGTATTTATGCTTATAATTCGATCTCTCTTTATTACAAACATTTGAATAACTTTGTTACAGGTAAACGATAATCATGGCAGCTTCCCAATACTACCACACTCAGGTGATTATTAAATGTCCAAATGCATTTTTGCGTAACTTGATTTAACTGACTCTTAATTTTTAAAATACCTTAACATTAATTTCTTAATAGTGTACACCTACGGTGTACCCAGCTGATCCGTTCGATGCAGAATCGGATGCGGCATTGCTGAGAACAGCCATGAAAGGGTTTGGAACCGACGAGCAGGCAATAATTGATGTTCTGGCTCATCGTGGAATAGTACAACGCCTCGAAATTGCTGACAAATTTAAGACTATGTATGGCAAGGATCTGGTTTCCGAATTGAAGTCCGAGCTCGGTGGAAATTTTGAAAAAGCAATCGTTGCTTTGATGACACCTCTTCCTGAGTACTACGCTCGAGAGCTACACGAAGCTATTTCTGGCATTGGTACCGACGAAGGTGCCATTATCGAAGTACTTGCCTCTCTAAGCAATTATGGAGTGAAGACGATTTCGGCTGTCTACAAAGATCGTGAGTAAATTAATAAGCCGTCTCTGACCTTAACAGCAAGGATAACTAACGGACCGGTGCTTCCTTGTGACTATCTTCCACTGCATATCTTATTGAGTAATCAACGTGACTTTCCTGTTACCGTCTACCCACAGCCAGTCAAGAAATACCTATAAATATTGTTTTCAGTATATGGCACCGAACTGGAAGAAGATCTGAAGGGAGATACGTCTGGCCACTTCAAGAGGCTCCTTGTGTCGCTTTCATGTGTAAGAGCAATATTAATGGTTGAGCGTTACACTGGAAAAAAATAATAATTACTAAGTCAGTGATTAATTTCAGGCCAATCGGGATGAAAGCACTGATGTGGATGCAGCTGCAGCAACCGAGGCTGCTGAAAAACTCCTTGAAGCTGGAGAAGGCCAATGGGGAACCGATGAGAGCACTTTTAACTCAATTTTAATCACAAAGAGTTTCCCTCAGTTGCGTAGAATTTTCCAGGAATACGAACGCCTGGCTGGAAGTGATTTAGAGGACGCTATTAAGCGAGAATTCTCAGGATCCTTGGAAGACGGGTACCTTGCTGTCGGTGAGAGATCATCTGATTCCATCAATTGACCAAATCCACGTATTAGATGATACAAGGTATCTTAAGTAATGGAGCTATAATAATGTTATGCCCTTAGTGAGGTGTGCTCGAGACAAGACGAAATACTTTGCTAAGAGGCTGCACGATGCCATGTCTGGAATCGGAACGACTGATTCTACTTTAATTCGCATAATTGTGGCACGTTCCGAGATCGATCTAGGTGACATTAAAGATGCGTATCAGGAAAAGTATGGACAGTCCCTCGCAGCGGATATCGATGTGAGTATAAATTTAAACAAATACACACTTTTCTTGTAGAATTTCTACTGCTTCGACCTGGCATTCCTTTAATCGTTTTTCTTATGATCATTTTCATTCGTTACGTTACGTTTTCGCATATTTCAATGAATTTCAGGACGACTGCTCAGGAGACTACAAGAAACTATTGCTTGCTCTGCTTGGCTGAGAGAATTTATTCTCACAACTTCTATACAGTGTCTTGTATTAATTCAGGGATGGTGGTTGCCGTGCATGATTCAACATGCATTTAAAATTTAGATTATTTTCATCCGTCCTTATTACCTGCAGTAGCAAGTAGCGAGGACTGATTACGTTGTTCACTTCATGAATTAATTAAAGTACAAGAAAAATACAGGTTAAGGGCAATCGCTGTAAGCTGGAGAACGTGAAGTTACTTAAACTAGTTTATAAAACAGGGAAATCGTACTGTGTATTTTTAAGTACTCTTATGTATCAGATTACTAAAAGCTCATGTAAATAATGTCAATAATCACAATTAACACGTACATCTCGCCAGCATTTAATTATTACATAAAAATACATGATTCGGATATTGAACTTTCGTATTTTCTTCTCGTGCAATTCAACTTGCTTTAATCTATGCCGCATGTTTTTTTTCGTTTTCAGAGCGACTGCAGCGACGATTTTAAAAGGCTTCTGATCGCGCTATTGAATTAGTTACAAATTGTGGACACTTATTTGTGAAATCTTACATTTATTTACTAATGCATCGAATTACAATAACATCATATGCACGTGTAAAACTTTATTTTCAATAAATGAAGTCTGTACAAAATATTCATTTACATATAAGTGAAATGTTATTTAAGTCCCATTTGTTATCTTTTCCAGAATGATTGTGCCAGAGAGTGGAAAAGACTTCTGATTGCTTTGCTGAATTAAAAAGATAGCACCATTACACTTGGACAAATCCATAGACATTCCAGCTGCTATAGACATGTTAGGTACAATGATTATTTTTTTCATTTTTATATGTCAAAAGTAATATAAATATATATATTATTTATTAAAATGAAAATACCTTTAATGTAAAATTTGTCTTAAATCCTTTCAACCATTGGTACCTTTTTTAAATCTTTCAATTCTTTTCGTACTGTAGCTATATCATTTGTTATTGCATCCTGAATAAAGTGTGTATCACTGCATGAACCTAACTTGAAACACCCAAGATCCAAATGGAAAATATGTATTATAATGAGACCCACTTCAACTTTCACACATCCCGTAAAACAATGGGACTTAATGTACAAGTTGTAGAATCTCAAACACAGGTCGAGATGAAGGTCTTCTATCTCATAAATGCAAATTGGCAATGGATTTTCAGCTAAAATAAGATTCCAAAATTACAATAACATTTACAGTTGTTACCACCTACTTTCATTACGACAATTCATATTTACCTGATATAGTTTCATTATACAATGTGCGATTATTATATGTCATAATAATAGCAATTCCATATTGGTCAGGTAAGTAGCTCCAAACAAAACACACTATGAGTACAATATTATATCAAATTGATTAGAAAAAATGACAAAACAAAAAATTCAATATGGTACACAAACATTTTGATTCTAAGGAAACAAATTATTAACGTACATGTTCCATTTATACCAATCTCAGGTGTATCTATATATTCACAGCAGGTGCATGTGTAATTCTTGCAATGGCAACCATTTCCTGAGTCTTCAATTTCATTTTCATCTAAGGACAAATCATAATGTTATGAAACAAGTGATAGTCAGCTCTGTTTTCTCTAGGTTAAGTTTCAGTAAAAATCGTTTGAAGACAAGTACAAAAATTATAGGTTAACCTGTGCTCTGGATATGTGGTGATAAGACGATCATAGCGACCGTGGTTGCAACCAACGCAATGCACAACAGAACGATGTAAATCTGCATTTTTGGGATTAATAAAGTAATACGCTTGTAACTTAAGAACTGAAAATCTTCAAGTTCTGTTTGGGTTCGTTAACTATCAACAAACTTATGTCCATCCACGTCTGAAAATACACACTGATACGCACAAAATGAGGGGGTTTTTCGTTCTGGTTACCCTTTCCATTTCCGTTTGCTTGTATCAGGATCAGAGATGAGTTGGGTACGAGAGGGTACATACATACACCTCTCGAGAAAAAAATGAAGCCAACTTCACTCACCCCTAGGGTTGGGTAGGTATAATACATCATGTAATATACGTAGTATTCTACCCAGAGATGAGTTGGGAGATTGCTCACGGGCAGGGTCACCCGATCGCATCTTGTGCTACCCTCTGGTTTTGTATGTTAGCTTTCACCGTTTTTTGTTCCCAAGGGCGGCGCGACGAATTTCTGATAGGAGCTCGCGCACTCGCGATGGCGGTACCATCTACCAGCCGCCGTTGGTGGCTCACGTACTCGCGATGGTAATACCATGCGGCAGTTGACGGTGGTGGCTTACCTACGCTTACCGACACTGCTCGCTTTTGATGGTAAGGGAAGAACACTCGTGACGCTCCATTTGACTTTATCAACTTATCTACTACTATTATGTACATTGGTGCCATGAAGTCGACGTGATGCGGAGCTTTGGGGCACGCGTCGGTGTCGCGTACGGAACTCTGATGCAGCAAATCTGCATGAGTACGATCGGTCCTACAAATCTTCGTGCGTCCCAACCAGCCAAGCGTCAAGCTACGGCTCGAGATGTTGAGTATATGTGCGTTCTGCGCTACACTCGATGAGTATGCGTGAGAGTCGAATACTGCGAAAAATCCTCCCGAGGCTTATCTAACTGCGGATATAAGACGAGTCATTTCGCGTATGATTTTTATATTTCCCTACTAGCGTTATCGAGCGTTTTTCGACAGTTTTCGAACGTTTTCGAGCGTTTTCGCGCGTTTTTCAAATGTTTCCGAGCCTTATCGCAGGCTGTACAGTGCCGTTGGGTGTTGTTAAGTGCAGTACAGTATCGTAGAGTCCCGTAGAGTCCCGTAGAGTCCCGTAGAGTCCCGTAGAGTCACATAGAGTGCCCGTAGAGTCCCGTAGAGTCCCGTAGAGTCCCGTAGAGTCCCGTAGCGTCCCGTAGGTCNACCCTGCCCGTGAGCAATCTCCCAACTCATCTCTGTGCATACGCCTCTTTTCTACGCGAGCGCAAAGTATATTACGCCCTTTTATTTCTAAATGTGAAATAATGGGAGATTTTTGGGAGGGACAAATTTGATATTAAAGAAGTTTAAATCAAAAGAATTTTAAACACAAGCACTAGATTAATCAGTCTTCCTTAGCAAGTTTTACATATTTACATGTCAGTATTGACGTTAAAAGTGATCAGTTTGATATTTACAGACATAGGAGTCATCTTTTAATGATAAGTATAAATTTTATTTCATGTTGAGGTTTAAGCGCTTATAATGTACATTGTCAATATTACAACATATTGTTAGTACCAGTGACGTAATTGGAAAAAAAAATGTCATTCCGTGATGTATAAGCAGCTGCAGAAATGATGTATCTTAACCTTTTACAAATATATAGTTAAATAAATAGCTTGTATTAAGGCCATATTTATTTATAAGAATCAGTAATAAATAAAAATGTAAAATGAAAAAAAAAATCGAGTTTTACAAAACTTCTCACAGCCAATCTATACCCAAGTTTCATTTGTTCGTCACAAAGCCAAGATCTCGAGGTAACATGAATGCGTTAAGCATATCATCTGTAATTTTGCTTCTGTTTTCTTGATGCGTAGCAACTAGCGGCTGCAGGATATTTATCAATTCTTTTTTAAGCTCACCTGTGAGAATTTCTCCACTGGTGTAACCCTAAAATTTAACCATACGAGGAAAGTTAGAAATGAAGAAAATATCTTATTATTAATGGTTTAACTTACTTTTCTTAATTGTTCTAACTTTTCATCATCTTCCAAGAAAAATCTAAGCCACTGGTAGGCTATGTCAACATCACAGTTTCCTCCTAACTGTCGGTGTTCTTCTACGGTAGCTTGTCCACCAGAAAATGCATGTTTATTGACTTTATTTTTTATTTGTTTAGCAGTGTCTGTTAGGAATATTGCTGTATTACTGTCACTAGCAGACATTTTTGTTTTTGAACCTTGCATTGCTGGGAAAAAGCTAGAATGTATTAAAGCTGGTTTTGGAAAACCTAGTTTTGGAGCGACGTCTCTTGTCATTCTGAAGTAGGGATCTTGGTCTATAGCACATGGAATCAGACAGTGCACCTTTGCATTTTTAAAAATAAATGGAAAAGTGCTGGATAACGCCGGAGCAGCTTGCGTTGGCGGAAAAGAGATCTTTCCTATTGGATCGCTATCACCGAATCCAAATATACCTTTCACTTGATTAAAAGTTACGGCTCTTTGTATTCTAATCATATTTTGGTAAAATGCAGGATTAGTTCCAATATGTTCCAAGTCAGAGAATATGAAAGTCCTCTCTGGATCAAAGCCACAAGCAATGATATCCTTGGCATTATTGTATGCCAGTTTAATAGCGTCTTCGATTTTTAGGTTCTTCCATATAGCTTTTTCATCATCTGTTAATTGAATTACTACAGGTACATTGAACACTTCTTGCAGCCACTTACAAAACATAAAAGGTATTAGATGACCTAAATGCATAGAATCGGAACTGGGCCCTCTACCCGTATACAAGTAAAACCTTTTTCCCTGCTCATATAGGTTCAAGATCGTATGCATATCTCGATGCGAGAAAAATATTCCTCTTCTGAGAAAGTGGTGAGGCTTCTTGCATGTGATCCTCTCAAAACGATCCAGGAGTTCCTTATCAATTTTTGAACTACCAAATCTTTCTGCAATGAAATAAAATACTAATGTCAATAAGACGTGCAGATATTTAATCAACAAAATTCCTTCAAAAGCTAATGCAATATAAAGCATATGTTTCTTAATCTATCTCGTCAATGCGGTTCACCTTTCCTTATGTATCCACATTCCATGTTCTGAAATATTATATTTGAAAATTATGCAGGAATTATAGAATTTTACGTACGAATAAGCTTGTCATAGTCGATACCAGTGTCATTTTTGCTTTCAACACTCCATGGAGTCACAACGTCTTCGCCGCTCGCGGAGCCGTTGAGAGAAAGATTTTGAATTTTAAGTTCCTCTTCAGTCATATTTCACCGTGGGAAAAATTAAGGAGCACCAATCGTTGCAATAGAACGAATCGTTACGCGACTCGATCGTGTCATATGTGAATGACACGTCAAGGCCGCCTGCTCGAAACGCTTGAAATGGAGGTTATGTCGTCACCTGAGGCCTCTCACCTTCTGCGCACGCGACCGGCTATGTGCCTGACATCGATATTTTTTTTTGTTTCGAGAATTTGACACATACCATTTTCAAAATAATAATGTTCAATCAGTAGTTAAACCTCTGGCCACTAAACGCCATATTAAAATCGATCTACATGATAAAACATTAGTAAGAAGAAAATATAATGAAAGAATAACACCTTTCCTGACCGAATGATGAAATTAGATATTCGGATTCTCTGGCCCCATTAAGCGTAAACGTATGTGCATACCTAGAGAGGTAATTTGCACGAGCGGATCATGAAGGTTGCTCACTTGTTTTTAGTCCAATTGCAATCAGAGATGAGGTGGGACAGAGATGAGTTGGGAGCAGAGCGTCCATGTAGTTTTCTCGTTACTGGCAAGCTGCTGCCATCTAACAACCTTGTATCAAAACCGTTCCACGCTTAGCACGGATTCTGAACTTCAACAGGTAACATAGAGTGCATCAGCGCACAGTCGGTAAAAAGTTGGGGTTTGTCGATAATAGCGATACGTAGACTTCTTGCTTGGTCTCCATTATCGTGCGCTAATCTCACTACATAAAAATGGGATACTTGATGTGAGGGCCCTAGTGTTGAAAGTAGACATCTCCCTACCTGTAAATACTAACGCCCTATTGTATTTACTACATCTAGGGAATGATTTTCAATAACCTTGATAAATAAAACTGTACAACCGGTAATCTTTCCAGGATGCGATGAATGCGTCAATCATTTAATAGAACATTTATATATCTATGTATCTTCATATAGATCTATCTATATATATTTTTTGGCAATATATACAAAAACATGCTTGTGATTGTAGTTACAGAGTATTGACACGATTACGCCTTCTTCTCGGCGATTGATTTTAACAATGTACGAGGTAGCTGTACAAGGAGAATCGAAGATCGATCGAGAGCATTTAAGGAAAGCACCTGCAACAATTCGGTTTTGTTTTCCCTTCAACGGCATCTCATCGCGCTACGACATCGTTATCAGTAAAGGGACATTTGTCGTGAAATAATTCCCTTGTATTTCTATTTGTTAATATTTTTAATTTCTTTACTGAATAATAAAAATTCGAGATCCATATATACCCTACATATCTCTTTGGATCGAGGCGAGAATACACTTTAACAGCCTGCGTAAATGGGTCATTTAAATTAGTACCTTGATAAAAAAATACTCTGCCGTAATCACTTGTACGTGTACCGAAGTCCACTATGGTTTGTATCGGTGTCTCCAAGAGAACGTAGACGAAAAACGAAAATCCTCGTCCCTCTACCGCACGTGACAAATAATACGCACCTACACCTAGGACAAGTATGACTATTCCACGAAACAACATCCTTTTAAGGCGACTAATAATTACAACGTGAGACACCACGTAGGTACACGAGTACAGGTAGCATGTCCAGTGCAAGATAGGGAATGACTCTTCATTCGGGAAAAATCTACGCACCACGGTTACGCATCGAAGTAATTTCATGATACTCAATTTCCATACATGTTACACCGACGCAGAATCATGCCGCGCGAAATTAACCGCACGAAAATAATTCCACCTTCGCATTGGACGTCTTATTCCGTATAAAAACTAGATCTGTATCTTCATTGGCATATTAGGACTTCCAGAGAACTCGGCGCCATGATGGAACTATGATTTAAATCCTCTACTGCACGAATACACGATTTCCCTTGAAAAATTGTTCAGACCGACAAATTAGCCAAACCACGAGCTAATTGTATGCATTCGCAAGGAAACAGTGCAAAATTGCAAACCCTGCAAAATTTCTGTACAGACCACCCCGTGCAATAGAGGATCCACAATGGCCGGTTGGAAAAGATGTACCGTAGCGAACACCACTGCCTTTCCTTACACATCGCAGTTTGTAGGAAAGGCGTTCGCGTTCGCCAGTGCACAAGTGCATCGAGATGTAAGAATCGTCCAGGTCTTACATTTTCCGGAAACCACTGCAGGACGTAACACACATGCACAAACGCGCGAGAATTCTACCTATTAGAAAGTTCGGCGAGACGAGCTTCCACAAATCTGCTGTTCCAACTTTTATTATAATTGTTCCAGAAGTGTTTTGGTCCTTGCTTTCTCCCCACGGCGAGTTTACGAGCCACGGCCTGCGCGATGCAATTCGCCAATGCACAAAAAGTGCACCGGGGTCCAAGGATCGTCTAAATCTCGCATTATCCGGAAACCACCGCAGGACGTACCATATATGCGTAAACGCGCAAGAATTCTACCGATTAGAAAGCCCGGGAATCCGCTCTTTCAACTCTGAATTATTCCAGAAGTCTTTCGGGCCTTGTTTTCTCCCCACGGCGAGTTTACAGCCACGGCCACCCCGGCGGTCCTAAAGTTTCGGAGTTCCTACAATTTTTAAACCCCCTCGAGCGCACGGAATTTTTACAGCCGTCTCCGGCAACACATCTCACGGAGGATAAAATTTTAATTTCCTAACTTACCTCTGGACCCGTCCAGATACAAATCGCCAGATACAGTCTCTGGGAGTGCAAGATGCACGCGTTTCCTGGAGAATTGTACCGAACACAAGTACTCTACGTACCAGCGCTTTTCAGCCGCCAGTGTACAAGTAATAAGACCGACGTACACTCAGCTTCATCTATCGCGAATTTACGTCTTTTTCTCATTACGTTATTACACTATTCGATATATATATCTCGTGGTCAAACGAGTTCCTTGGTTGATGGCTGCGGAAATAACGCTACGTATTTTCCGCAGGTTAATCAGGGTCTCGAGCGGAGCCATAGCTTCGGCACGAAAGACCTCTTTTTTTGGCAAAGAATTCAGAAGTTCCATAGAAGTCAGACTCTATTTTTGAGTTTGATGCTCTAAAAATTGGCTAACAAATCAGGAGAGGAGATAAGAGAGAGATTGCACGTGTTAGTCAAAGGTATCTTACATACGGGAGGAGGAGAGACGCGTATACAAGGCGGATACTGTGGGTAAGAAAGAAAGAGTGCAACCCGCTACATATCGTCGTAAAATTAGGAGAGGTAGAGAGATGATTACAGCGCCATCTTCCATATGCTATTTATCGAGTATCTATAGTGTTTTTACGTTCTCGAGAATTCAAGTTCGAGTAATATAACCGAGAACTCATTACAGTAATTCGAATATCCCTGGAGAACTTAAAAGAAAGAGAATTTGCATTTAAATTAATTTCTAAAAATAATGTATTACTTTTAATAACTAATATTCATGAAGTCAAGGTACTTTTAGCCGAAAACAGTATCCCTTACTTGCGACGATTTCCTATTTCCGGAGTTTGAGTTGCCACTTTCATTAATCTCGAGATGCACAAGAGGTTGGAAGATTAGATCAACCGATTAACTTGTTCAATTATTGGAAGTTCAGAAATTCTGGTATTGCAAGTTGAAGCAAAAAGAAATCCATCTGAAATCTTCGGAAGTAGAATCGAAATTTCCACGCAGCATAATACTCGCAAATAGTGAAAATTATTAAAATTAACTTGAATGCTGCTGAAAAAAAATTCAATTCTCATACACTCGCAAAGAATTTAATTGTCGGTTATATTCTCGGATATATTACCCCATATATCCCATTAAAAACTCTAAGTATCAAACGTCCGTATTTTTCTGGGCTTTTGAATTCTTTGTCTTTGGATACTCCGAGTATCTTCGAGCTGCCATTTGTCTAAGCGTCTGAGAAATTGGTACGTGGTGTAATTACATCTAATCTTAGATCCTAGCGGCTTAATTCTAAGGTCGTTAATCGAAGTTATAATCGCGAAGCCTTTGACTGTGCCGGAACGGTTCCGGCACCGGTTCGAAGGAGACGCTCGTTCTATCACAGTTCCAACTCGCGCGAGTGCGCGCAAAGATACGTCTTTACGGCCTACTTTGTCGACTCTATTTACACGCTACTTTGGCAAATTCTTGCGAATCTTTCCCTTTCTTTTCCTCTTTGGCGTGATTAGACGAAGACCGTCCACTCAGATGGAGGTATCTTTGATATCGTGACATTATACAGGTGGGGTCGAAGAAGTGCGTAGGAGATTTTAAGTCGAAACGATCCGAGGCTCGGGAACTATCGGTTTACGGAAGCGAAAAATTGTTGCGAGAAAAGTCTCGCGATTCATTCGGATTCCTATCCTAAGAAGTAAACGAGAAATTGATCTTTTCCGGGTGGGCTGTAATAACTCGAGGATGCGATTGAACTCTCGACTTCCGACGTCGGTTCATGTTTCTTTCACGAGTTTCACTTTCTAGCGGAATCACGGGAGATAAGCTACTAAAGAATCGAGTTTCCATTTTCTTCGGTTTTCCACTTTATTCCGTTCGTTTTTATTTATTTGAACTACGGTGAGAAGAAAAAGTTAGTCGACTCGAAGAAATATGCATTGCGACAACAAAGTCCTGCGATCAAATATGTCAGAAGAAATGTCAGATTGAGTACACGGAATTACTTTAAACTACCAACAATTAGTTTAACACCAACATCATCGAGTTTTCTTCTCAATAAAATAATTCCTTCTTGCGAACAATATATATTTGTTTCAGTCAACTAATCTTATTTCTCGACGGAGATATATGGATATTCCAATTTGAGAATTTCCTAATTTGAGGCTTTTCTCGAGACGTCTCATGGATTTTCAGAGGTTGCTCGAAGAAGTCGAAACCTCGTAAGGACCTCGAAGATTCCTTGAGACTTTTCAAGGTCTCCCATTGAACACTTACTAAGAGATCCAAGGAAGATTACTCGAGAAGTCGTTTCGGACTGCTTCAGAATCCGAAGGCCGATGTGTTATCGATCGGACCATTTCCAAAGTCAGGACTGCATGGGAACCGATTTGCAAGACGATACCCTACCAACGACCTAACGCGGATTGAATTTATAAAGGAATATCGACGTGGAAGAATGCACTACCCGAGTCGACGGGTCGATTAAGACTCTTAGGAATATTACGCTGTAAAAAGATTTCCAAAATCCCACAGATGCAGTTAGCGTTTTCCAAGGATATCTCGTTTTGGGTCGATGCAGGTGTATCGATACATCGATAGGATGACCTGATCGACGATTTAGGGGAGAATTTGCCACCGTTGCTCGGAGATGGGGTGCCACGAAATTTTTCATAAAATAAAGGCGCTCGTTTACGAGGGCGTTTTGGCGTCTCGCCGAACATATTACCAAGGGACCATTTCATTTTATCACGTCGGTCCCTAATCCTCTTTGGCAGAAACCAGCAAGACCGAGTAACGACCCCGTCGTTCAACGGGGAGAACCGCTCTTTCGGCGATGAAATTTCTTTAAAATTCTCTACGGATCCGGCGGCATATTTCACGAAAAAAAAAGCCGTTTACGCGAATGGCTCTTAGGGACTCGGGGAATATATTTATTTCTCTGCGAGCGTCGTAGAGGATAGAAGAAGCGGAGCAAACGGATACGACGTAACTAGAATGAACCCCTTGCACTCCGTTGTTCCCTCTGAGGGGATATTTTAACTCTAGATGGGATGGCGCGGAGTGCAAAGGGTTAAAAATATTGCATTACCTTTAAAAGAGCCTACGGTTAATCCGAATCTGTCGTTAAAGGCAGTCAGAAGGTAAAATCTTATTTCATATTTTGATCCCAATTCCGACGTCGTTTTTGAATTTCTAGATCATGTCAAAGGTGAGAGTACAGATTTCTATAAGAGGGGTGTAACCAGAAATGAAAATATTAGGATCGTGCACCTTCAGAAGAGGGTATGGTTAATCTCAATCTGTCGTTACAGGTAAACGGAAGGGAAAGTCTGATTTCATACTCTGACCCCAACTCCGACGTCATTTTTGAGTTCCGAGACGATGTCAAAGGTGGGAGTACAGATCTCTGTAGGAGTGGCGGTAGCGAGAGGAGCAAGCCTGAGGTTTCTCCTGATGGACTCTGTAAGGACGTACTCTTTGCATGGTGGAACCCAAGGCTTGCAGTGGTTTACCGGAGGCTCCAGCATCGGTATCCCGCAGGATTCGTTCATCGGTCCCAATCGAAACACGGAATCAGTCGATCTGCTCTGGCCCTCTCTCGAGACGACCTCGGGTCTGCATCGATGCCTTTCCAAGTTCATAATGGAGACCGACGAATGAACCCCATGGATGGACCCACGAACCGGCGTGGGAACTCGGTTTTTCGGTTGGGAGGAGAAGGCGTGCTCTTCGAATTCGTCAAAGGATGCATAGGCGTCGGAGTCGGGGACCGATGTGGCCTCGAAGAAGGACTCCCCTAAAGACGAGGTCAAGGTATCGGGACACATGAAAGGGTCCAGACAAGTCACGTCGTTCATATCGCTCCCGCTGGCGCAGTCCCGAAAGTTGTTCACCGAGTAGGAGGAGGCGAACCTCTGATGGTCGTTCTGGACACTAGGAAGGAATTCCTGGCTCCTAGAGGACTCAGACCTCCTGGAGTCCGAGGGCCTTCTGGAGTTGTACCTGGTGGAATCGTGCTCGGCAAAGAACGCCTCGTGTAGTCTACATTTCTCGGATCCTGTAACCAGCGCCCTGGAGACTTCCTCCGGATCTATGGCGAGAGACTCTCTGCAGGGGGTAATGTCGAAGAAGTCGTTGGACCAGCCATTGAAGACTCCGTTCGTGATGCCTTGACCCGAGGAACAGTCTTCCGCCATGTCCAGCAATACCGATGGGACTATGATGGGATCCGAGTGTCTGACTGGACTTTTTGGGCTCTTCCGAGTGGATTCGAAGTCGGCAAATTCGGTTAAGAGATTGATCGCTTTCGCAGGGTCCTCTCCATTCCTGGAAATGGAATCCTCTTCTCTGAGGGAATCCAGGGGGATGGGGCCCATGGGGCTGGGAGGCTCCGAATGGGTCGTCGGGACCAGCAGGGTGTCCAGAATCCTGCAGGGCTCCAGCAGTTTGTCCCTCGTGATCGGCTCGAAGGTGTCGATCGATTCGGAATGGGTTAGGATTTCTGAACTCTTCCTCAACTTCGCGACGGGGTCAACTCTGGGCTCCAGATGGATCGAGGGCTCGATCGCCTGTTGCTGGGGATAGAGTCTCGAAAGTTTGTTGCAGGTGATGTTGATCTGCTTAACGGCGCTTCTCTGTAAAGAATTACTGCGAGAGCTGAACCTGCTGCCTTCCAGGGCTGGCAAAGACCCACGACCAGCGTCCGTCAGTCTCAGTTCCAAACCGTGGCCCTTGGAATCTCGACTGCCGAAGAGCCTGTTTCGAGGTCGACCGTACAGGTTGCTGTGCCTCTTCCTTTCGTTTCGGTGATATTCCGTCTGCCTACACTGATTCAGATTCTGCTCCGAATATCTATGCGAGTCGTGTGTACGATAAGTCGCCAAGAAGTCTCTGCGATTCGAGTCCGGGCTGCTACCTAAAATAATGCCATAAAAACATCTCCATAAAATCAAGAAGTGTACTATATTTTAGCGGAACGATATACTAAAATAATATAAATCTCTTCTTCTAAATTTGCAGGAGGTCCCTACCTGTCCGTAGTTTGATGTTGGGGTCCGACATGGAGGACAAGTTCGAGTTTTCCATCCGGCTGAATTCTGGACCCTGACAGGTCACCTCGTTGAACTTCTTCGTCTCCTGAACGCGAATATCTGCATTCAATGTCGGCTCCGACCTGGTGTTCGTGTGCAGAAGTTTTTTATTCGAGGCTCCATCGCACTTCAGGTTCTGGTAGGATATGAATTTGGGGAAGTTCTTGCCAGTCAGCCTGCGCAGATGGCGGATCTTGTTGAGGTACTTAGAATACTTCCAGCTTCTGATCCTGTCGATGTTGTGATTGGAGTCGATCAAGTGGTTACGGTCCACCAGGTACTTGGGGTCCAGCATCTTCTTTAGGTCGGAGAGATCTTCTTCGACCACGTCGCCCTGACTGCTGTCCGAAGAGATCCTCTTCAAGTCCGCTTCTGGAGAGATGTCCGCATATCTGCTGGACAATTCTAGACCACCACGCTTTCCAGGGTAGAAACTGCTCCTTTGTTTGGCCAGGAAACACTGGTCCCTTCGTCGGTTGGGATCTTCGTTGCTGTTGTTCACCTCGGCCAGCTCCAGGTTCGTGTTAGACGCTCTTCGCGCTGGTGAACATCCATAGCGACTCGGCGATACGCCCAGCAGAGCCACCAGGTCTTCGGCGATTTTTCCAGCTGCTATCCTCATCTCGCCATGATGAAAGGCGTAGATCCAAGGGTTGGCACCACTGTGAGCCAGGATTGGAAGACCCAGCCAAACCACCGTCCACTCGTCCAGGATATTGGTACCACAGAAGATATCCAACAGCATACACGTCTGCAACATCGAGATCCACATACTTTATCTCATTCCTCTCTTATCCATTTCTCCTCAGAATAATTTTGTAGATTTTCTTTTAGGAAGGTAATCGCCTGGAGATCAGATTTTGTGAATGTGCAAAGCAGACGAGGATGGGGAGTAATAACAGTTTTCACGACGATCCTTTACGTGCTCGCAGGAATCTGCAGCTGCAGCCTGAAGCGGCTCGTTATATTTTCTTTCGCAATTTCTCATTTTCTTACGAGACTCCTTCGCGAAATAACGAACCCAAGATGGCGAATGAGGTTCGTGAAGACAGGATTCTTCGCAATTTCGTCCAGGTAACTCGTAACTCGTGCGGACAAGTGCGAGGATAGTGGTAGCCGTGAGTTAAGTGAAAACTTAAGGAAGGACCGAAAGTAGTGTCTCAGTTTGCGCGTTTCCGTGTAAGAGAATGGTTTCTTTTTTCAAGGATTGTGATTCTTCCCCCGAAGTTTCCAACTTTTGAATTACAGTCCGACCAGGGATTTCTTTTTCTTGCACGATTCTTTCTTCGGAAAACTCGCAGTTAAGTGTCGGAAGATTGGGCTGTAAAGTGAAGCTTGCCGGCTCGATTTATTCCCTAAGTAAACTTGGAACTTCCGTCGGTGCCCTTCGAAGCTTTAGGGAAAGCGTGCCGGAAGACATTTTTCCCAAAGGACTACCGTAGGTTATTTACCTTTGACAATCCTCCCCATCCGGAATTCACAGGGCTCGCACTCTACCTTGCTTTCTAATATTAATCAAAGGATTAAAATGGATAATAATAAGAAAAAAGACTAAAAACATAGAAACGAATACGGCCCACTCTAATACACCGGTGAGACTCAAGTCAATTAAAGGAAATATAAAAAATGACATCATCTATAACAAAACCCTTAAATCGTGATGATGAACGATGGAGCTCGTAGTTTGTCATGGAAGCGAGTAAGGACGGTAATTCACTCACCAAGGCACGATATTGTACTCATCGAGTCTCGATCGTGAGAGTTTCTCAGGTAACGGTAGCGAGACTGAAACCGTAGTTGGAGTTTGGCTCCATTTTTAAAAGATTACTTTTTAACGACAGGTAGGAGGGGGAGGGGCAGCAGTTGATATTTGCAGCAAGGGGGTCTTATGCAGAAATCGATGGGAAAACGTTCCTCGGCGCATCGCATGGGCTTTGCCGATAAGAAAATACGAAGATCAAGGGAAACGCGGTTGCTACGGGGGAGCATCTCCGGCTTTAGCTCGGAATACGAGGAGAGAGTTAACCGAGCGAGACTCGGCCGTTCCAAGTGGCCTCGAAAGTGGCAAGGAATCCGCGAAACGCTCCCGTTTCTCGATTTTGAATCGCTAGTACGGCCCCGCGAAACGACGTGACGGAATCCCTTCAGAAATGGAGCGTCGTCGCCCGAATTAGACCAATAAAGCAATCTGCACGAAGATTCTCGCAACGGTGCTCATGAATGTTGCAGGCCCGAGCGAAGTTCCATATTCGTATAAGTGGCTGCCCGGATTCAAATGCATAATGCAGGAAGACGCGAGACGCTTGCACGGGCAAATTCCTGGTGACGCTTCGTTAGGGACCTAATTGCGTTAGATAATTTTTGCCCGTCGCCGCGAGATTTCATCGGCGAGGGATTTTTTTTTCAGCGAGGGGATTTCCTTCGGCGAAGGATTTTCCGCAGCTCGGAGAACGAGGAAAAGAGGAAGAGGGTGGCGGAAAACGCGCGACTTTGGAAGCAACGACCCCTCGAGGTTCCTTTTGCGAATAAATGTCGTCGCAGGAGTTAATCCTCATTAGGGGTAATTTAATTGCTGGTTCATTACCTCCGTCTGCTGCGAGGTACGCGTCGCGGCGGGGAATAAATTATTTTACGAAACTGCGTAATCGAGATCAATGTACCCCGGGGGCGATCGGGACGTCTCGCGTGCTTTCCTTTCCTTTCTGCCTGGAAAGAAAAACCAGCAGCGTGGAAATGCCGAAGACCCTCGCATTTTATCTGCAGAAATGAACATTCTTTATCGGAATTATGTACGTTCGAAAATTATTCACATGGAAATTAGAGTATGTCGTTAAATTTTCAGCTGGCCACGATTCAGGCAGGCTGTCGAAAATCGCTAGGGATTTTTTTATCGAGGTGATTTTAGGGGAAGATTGTCTTTAAGGACTCTAAGATCGCGTTTCTTGGGATATTGACCATGAAAGGAGTTCGATCGCGCAACGAGTCGAGCTAAGTACTCCTTAAGTTTTACGTCCCCCGCCGATTACTTCGTGCCTTTTACAATCTAAATCCATCGTTTCGCAGTTTTTAGTATCGCGGGGTCTAACGTTTCTCCCTAACTGCTCTGCCAGATGCGAAGCCCATTCCTTGCCTGTTCAACCCCTTCGTAACGCCTCCGATTGTCTCAAAGGCCCTCTTCGGTCCGGCCCTCGCTAAAAGCTGCAAGCAGACGGGAAACAATGCGCACCTCTGGCGCTCGCTACAATGATATCCGTGAATATTTTAATTTCCCGGTGCTCCGAGAAGTATCCCCGGCATTTTCCCCGATTCGCTATGCGATTCTCTTTTAGGAGCCGCGATGAAAATCCGCCTCTCTTTGCTCCGTAATGCCGGATGCAGATCTGAGCACGAACATGTACAAGAACAGGCGACATACAAAGGTGAATGTATAATTGAAGACTAGAATTAGTTGACATCCTAAAGCTAACGAAGTTAAATTATGGAGTGCATTGAATTCATTAATTACTTATTTCATTTGCGAACGACATATCGCGTTATCTAGGAGCAGGTGCAAAAACAATGTATCTATATCATTACCGACTGAGGTAGATTTTTGGCAATTTGGCGCTGCATCAATTTTCGTGGTTACAAATGAATTAATTGCGGTCACGTGACCCATTTGACGCTAAATTTGAGCGTTTTTTAAATTAGTTCATTTTGCTTGGAATTCGTTTCATTTCAGCTTATCTTGTACATGGCCGTGTGCATGTCTATGTCGGATGCGTACTCGGCTCCGGATGGTCGACAGCCGGAGGCGCCACAGCTTCGGAAAAAGTACAGGTGTCGATCGGGTTCGATCGAAATTCAACTCACCTGGAAGGGAAGCCAGAGGACGAGGAAGGCTCCGACCGTGACGGCGAGCGTTTGCCCGTAACGCGGAAGGGCCAGGGTCTGGGTCTCGTGCCTGAAGGAGAGCTCCACCGTGTAAATGGCTCGTGCGTGTGCTCGCGCGACTAGGTAGACGTACATGTAGCACCCAAGCAGGACCAGCGCGCTTGGCGCCCACACGGCCACCACGAGGAACACCCTGATAGGTGGTGAAACGGCCGTTCCGAATCGGCAGCTTCCGCTGCAAAGAAAATTCACGCTCGGCTTTATTTCGTCTCCATTCACTCTACACATTTTTATCTTAGAACGTCTATCCGTAGGCCTTACATGAATTCAGAGAGAATATAGAAAATGGTACTTCTATACAATGAAGGTCTTAAAATTGACAAAATTTTAAATATTAAAATTGGCAGATGTTTCCATTTTTGATACTTGTAGGTCTATAATGTAGGACTTGATTTGTATTAAACGGAAGGTACAAAGTCGAATGTAGGACTTAATTAGTGAAACAGGACGAAAAAATCGATTTACGAGTTTCCTGAGAAACGCATTTTTCCTCGACGAAATAAAAAATGCTTCTTCAGAATGATAGGTAGGTGAGACATACTAAAATTGAGGAAGAAATCGGTGGCTCGTTTCTTGGATTGAACCGCAATGCTAAGGTATACCTGGTGCACGTAGAATTACGTGGTGTTTTGTCTTGCTCGCCAGTCCGTACGTGAAATTTTTGTGACGCTTGCGTACCCGCGTGTCTAATTTTCTGAGAAAAAATTAACAAGACTGTGACAAGAGAGTATCAACATTCCCGGGATCTCTTATGAAAAAGTGGTGAATTAAAGATGATTCCATTTTGAACTCGTGTCTCATCTTTTCGCGAATTTCACTCCCTGGGGACCGCTATTCCGGTGTAAAAATGTAAAAACGCCGTCGTAATGGGTCCTTATCGCGAGTTAAAAAACGACGACAGCTTCTTTGGCGTTAATTGGAGGAGGCGTTTCTGAAGGGAAACTTTGGGGCTGGTAATGACGGTAAAAAGGGGGGAATAAAGCGCGGGGGTTTGGTCTCGCCAGGAGACCGTTTGTCCGGCGGCGGGAAGGCAAGGTCTCCGTCGTTTTCGCGATTAACGAGTTCGTCTTTGAGAACTCGCATATCCGAGGGAATCCGGAAAGCGGCCCGTCCTTCGCGGACTTCTCTCGGATGCTTTGAAACGAGCTCGCCGAGCGCCATTCCGGCTTCCGAATTCGCGCGGAAATGCGCCCGCGGATAATGCTAATGTTCGGGACTCGGATGTCAGGCGCAGCCTATTTATCACTCGTTACGCGTTATCAAACGATTCGCCGCCGACCATGCGAGAGTCGTCGATTAGATCGATCGGGTGCAGCTGACGCGCGTTTTGTCGGCGAGCATCGGAGCTCCGGAAAGCACCATCGCCGTAGGTCGATAAAGCCTCCAAATGCATTTTCCAGCAACGGAGCCAATGTCACCAGATGAAGAACACCGACCCGCGGGATGTGCTCCGATTAACCCTTTCGAAACTACGGGTGACTATAGTCGCCCGTCATCGCACGCTCGTCATATCCCATTTATCCGGGGAAACTTTTATAAAAGGAACATTTTTCACCAAGAATATGCAGTGAAATTAAAATGCTTTCAAGTGTGCCAAATCATTTCAATAGTTGACGTCATTTACCATATTTGATTATTTTAACATTCTATGTGATCAACCAAACGTTATTAATCAAAGAATTTAGTCATGTCAACGAAATACGCTGAGAGAAAAAAAGTCACTTTCTCAAAGAAATGAAATTCTTTAGTAGAACAGATACCCTACTGATCACAACGACATGATCAGTTGAAGGGCCGATCGAACGAAATTAAGACAAATTTGGAACAATACTCAATTTTCTTCAGTAAAGTTCATCGAGTTCGTTGACTCGTTATCGTCACATTTTCTGTATATAAACGCGATAGAAAGAACAGTGGATTCGGTACAATGAGTGAAAGATTTTAAAGGAATTAATAATATTCTTGTAACAAACTGGAGTTTAATGGAAATTAACTAACCGGAATAGATCGAACGATTTTGCGTAATGAACCGAATTTTTTTTTTACACGTACAGCATCCTGACGAACAGTATAGCCGGGTTGAAAGAATTGATACGAACAAATTATACGCTTAGATTAATTTACGTGGCGATTTCGTGCAACGAGTACTGCACGTCTAAAAACCAGAGGACTTCGACCCGATTCCAATAAGACGCAGCAGACGCGGAAAGAGGACGATGCGCGTCTCCCTCTTGGGCCGAGACGATGCCGCTCCTTATATACGCTCGCATATATTCATATATTTATGTACGTCGCGTACATGCGCGCATGTATACAGGAGAGGTGAACTGCTCCTCTCCGGCGCTGGTGCGGCGAATGTCGGGCGTTATGCGCCACGAGCTCGATGAAATTGCTTATCGTTTCTCACTATTGCTCCCGGTACGTCGGTGTAAAATAAACTCCATATAAGGGAAAACGACGAGGACCGCGACGACGCGGTGCCAAGGACCCATTCAATCGGGCCCTCAAAGTCCCCCGAGAGCCATTTCGCTATTTTAGACCCAAGTTCCCTTTGGCAAATAATTTATTTCCCGGGGCCCAAGCATGCCCCGGACTGTTCGAATGGCTCCATCAAATTATGCTCAGTGAGGGTCGATGTCATACATAATACCCCGAATGCCCGTTCGATCTCTCGCGTGGGCTCGATTCAGCGATTTCGAAACGACGATGCACCCCGGAAGAAAAGAGGAAACAGCCCTCGGCCCCCTCTCTTCCGGTCGATATTATAGTTTCCCGTTTTCAATATCGCTCCTGCGTTCGACAAAGGAGCAGCGGGGCTCGCTAAAGGACGCGCAAGTCCTTCCCTCAAAAATCCGAGTTCAAAGGGCAGGGGCCTCGTGCGACGTAGAAAGTTCGGTTAGGAAATGTCTTGGACTGAAATGTGTCTTTGGGTTACGCGTCGCCGTGCCAATTCCGTGCTCGTTATCCGGAGTGTTATCCAAAGCGTCATCCAAAGGACTTCCCCGTCAGCCGTATTCCTTTATGGTCACCCGTCGTCCTTATTATGCCAATTGGCATCCGGCTTTTTCCAACCAACGAGCCGGATTTAGTCCAGACACGTGTATCGATCGCTCCTCTGCGTTTATTTTGACTCGCCGAGCGAGATTCTCGAGCAAGACTCGACCGGATATATATTTATTCGCGCGAATCCAACAGAGGGAGAAGAAATTTGCCAAGACCCGCGAGTGGAGCGTGTTAAGTAAGCAGATGCAGGGTCACGTCGCGATACGTTTTTATCGACGAGGAAAGGGGTCGTTTACGAGAAGCCAGCGAAAAAACTCGCGTTAACGAGGATCCCGTAAAGTGTCTCGTCGGGCGCGAGTTATGGATACCTCGACGCGGGTGCGAACACCTTGCGGTCTCCCTCCGCGAAAAAAAAAGAAAAAAAAAACGTCGAAATATCGGTATCAATATTCGCCCTTTTTCAAATCGATGTACCCACCAGGCCGTGAACGGAGGAAATACCGCCGATCACCGCGAAAAAGTCATTTCGACTCACCTGCGAGGTCGTGTAAGTTATCTGGCTCGGATAAGCTCGAAAAACTTGGATGTATATATCTTCGGAACAATGACAACTTATTTCGTTCAGTGAATTTCTTTTTGCAGTGTAGGATCAAAATTCCAACTTGGGTCACCGGAAATTTTCGTCTTGGCTCACCTGTGAGGCTGCGTGATTCCCATGAATTGCGCGTAGATGAGGGGCGAGAAGCCTACGGCAATCGCATAGATCCAGAAGACCGCGATGTACTTCTCGATGCTGCTGTGGGTAATGATGTTCTTGTAGCGTAGCGGCTGCGCAAGGGACGTCAGTCGGTCGACCGCGATTGCTACGCTGACGAGCACGCTGACGCTGCAGAGGGCGATCGCGATACAATAGGGCGCGATGCACAGGGTGGACACGCCGTTTTCCGGTAGTCCCGAGAGCTCCAGGTGCATGCCGAATGGCATGTACACGCCGACCTGTCGATTGTCGTTACACGTGAAAAATATCGTTTTTATCGCCCAAACATCTCGACACCCATGAAATTTCACCTCCTAAAGTTTGTTTCCGAACACTTATTGCACCTTTTTTTATTAAAAAATGAAATTTCATGCGTATTAGAAACTTCCTCAAGACCTTTATATTCATGCAGTAAACTTTCAGACATGAAAACATATTTAATTTTCTTGAACTGCAGAAAAATGAATAAAAGAAAAATGTATTTTCTTTCAAGGAAATGAAACACATAATTTCGATTTTATTCGTTATTATTTTCAGATATTAAGCATTCGATCAATGTAATGCATCAGAGTTGAACATGTGGCATTTTTGAGCGAAGCCTGTATTTCTTTGATTTCATGCCACAGTATTTGATATACCAGTCAAAGAAATAACTTCCTTGAATGAAAATACATTTTTTTTCTCAGTGTACTTTTCATTTCTACGGCTGTGCTTACTTTACGCGAGGTACGCGTGAAAGTTCTTATACCGAAAGTTAGCCTCGATTTTTATAGTGTTTTCTAAACGGAATCTATTTTTTCACGTTCTTACCCCAAAGTCGCTGATAGCTAAAGAGACCAGCAAGCAGTTGGAGGCTGTCCTGAGTCTCTTGTAGCGATAGAAGGCCGCCAGGATGACGGAGTTCCCGCTGATGGTGATGGGTGACAAGATGAAGACCACGGACACCGCCAGGACGACCAGGACGGGGCTGACCTCGAGTCGCGCGTCCACCCTGGTCACCGTCGGGATCAGGCTGGTCGTGAGCTCTTCCACGACCGTGGGTGTCAACGTCTCCGTCGACAAGGAGGACATGCTCGAAAGTTAGGCCCCCTTCCAGGTGGTCGTCGAATCCTTCGAGATAGGGCGAGACCACTCCTTGCGCGACATCTCGAGGAGGTCGTCCTCGACTTCCGGGCTCAGGGCTCGCCTCTGACGATCCCTCGAGCTCCACACTGGTCTCGCCTCAGGGGAGCTGGCTCCTGGAAGGAAACAAAGCTTTGTTTAATTCACTGCAAATCAACCGATCCCATCATCTACACCGACTGCGATTATCTAAATCTGGAGCAGCAATCTTTCCCTCCCTAGGGGGTCGAAGCCTTATTCACGGGCTAGGGGACGTCGAGCCCCAGCAAGGTCTCTTTTTATCGGCCCCCTAAGTACCCGGCACGTAGGGACCCGTCGGATTTACGAGCCGTTGCCGAATTAATTCCCGCCGAGCGGGCGAGAGTGGATTTTTCATTAAAGTTCGGGCTCGCCTCAGGACACCTCGTAGTCGCCATCCAAGCGTACGGCCGCAACGTTCACCAATTTCGTCAATTATTCACCTATCGGGTCAGTCTAACGGCCAACGAGAGGATCATTTCTTCCTGTACATTTTCATCATCCGCGTGGGCAGAGTAACGAGCCCTCGTGCCAGTCGATGGATAATTGGAAACGCGAGGGATCGGTCTTGGGCCATCTCTCGGGTGGATGTAGATTTTCCCTAATTGCGGAAGACGGAAGGAAACGATATACTTCCCACTTGCTAATTTGATCTACGCCGAGGCAATTCGCTCGGGCTCGAGGGGCATTTAAATTTCCTTCGCATAAAATGGCGGAGATCGAATCGGCGCAGTTGGAAAGTTTTATCGGTCCTCCTGCAGGAAAAGCGGTTCACCTTCGAGCTCGAGGTTCCTCTTCTTTCCGCATGAATTCCGCACCGGGTACGTGGAGGATCTTTCTTCCTGGAGGTTTCCAAAGTTTCGGAGGTAATTTCGGTGTCTTTGGCGTGAATGTAAACCGCGAGGTATCGGGATTACTCGGCGAGTGCAGGAGACGAGGGAAATCCTGGAAAAGGCTTAATTGGCTCCGGCGGTGGCCTCGACCTCGTCCTTTTCCTACTTCGTGGCTCTCCTTCTCTCCGTAATCGCATAAGCTTTCCTTCGTCGTTTCCGGGACGTTTTTGGGTTACCAGGATTCCCTGAAACAAAGATTAGATCATGACTATCGTATTTTTATCGAGGACGCGGAGGATCCGCATCGGCTTTTGAGATACGTTCAATTTTAAACCGATCTGCGAATTTCGTCCATTTATATTTCTCTGGGTGCTTCTGCATGTACGTTGCGTGGATTTTTAAAAATCACGGTAGCGATTAATTCGTTTCCTTGAATTTATTAAGGGCAAAGGGTGAAGCTAGACTACGGTTCGAGAAAGGAAAGGAACGGGTCCTGGCCGAAGGATTTTCCTCCCATTTACTAGAATTCAGCCTCACGCCACTTACTTTCTCGTTTGCAATTCGAATACCGCGGAAAACTTTGGTAAATACCCGCGGGTGGAAGAGTTCCGGCATGGGTTAAACAATTACAGGCTACTCTCTCCAATTGCGCTCCATTAACGGCCAGCTCGGCCAACTGGGTACTCTAATTCACGAGAGCGCGTCATCAGACCCGTTGGTCCCTTAATTAGGGAAAGCTCGGATGCGCTTTTTCCCGCACTCCATTTTTGCTCCATTTTAACCCCCCCCCCCCCTCCACCCATTGATTTCGTCCCATCCACCCACGTCCATTCCAGGATGCAGAAATTACCCGGCGTCCTCGCAAAGGGCGAGACTTAACGAGAATCGAAGGATAAACGACTTCGGGGGCTTAAACCGAGTCGATAACCTTTTCACTCGGCGTATCCTGGGGCGTTTCCTTCTTCCAATCTCCTGCTATTTTTCCAATCCACCCACTGAATCGTGGCGACGTCATTTCGTGGAGTTCTGCCATTTTTTCATCGCTGAACTCTTCGGACGATTGGATAGTCCTTTTCCTTACGTCTGTGCGCATAGTATCTATTTTGCATACTCGAGCACGTACGCAAGGGACGTTTTTTTTACATTGGCACGAAGAAGACTCGAGGCATGCCGATGGTAACCAAACATAACCGACTATTAGTACATTTTATTCATACTTCTAATCACACGCAGTGGGTGCAAACTATCTACTTTAGTATTACTTAAAAAAAGTAATTATTAGTGGCTTCGAGATACAGGGGAAAAAAAATGAAAATGATAAACTTGCCAACTCAAAGCCAACATGGTTTTAGGGCAAGATTATTCGCAGCATTGCGACGACCTGTCCGAGGTTTCTTTCAGACAATATCCTGTCCCATTCCATTCTTTCTCCTTTTAAAGTCAACCGCTTCTTCACCGGCTACGATATAACTTGTGGCCACGGGAAAAGAGAAGGCCGGCGTTTCCGCTCTTGGTCTTTACGACTTCTGTGGCGAGCGCTCGAGTCCGCGTCGACTTGACGATTATCGCTACCCACGGCAGCTCGACGTTATCGGGATTCGCATGTCACACCAATCCTCGTTATCGTCCTCGAGCTCTGGACCTCCCAGTCGAATTTAGGGCGAATCTTTTCTCAGGACTTTCTCCAAAATGGCGGCGGCTCCTGCTGCGCCGAGATAATTGCTCAAGTGCACGACGAGTCGCGTTTTTTTGCGATTATCATGGTTTTCAAGACACTCAAGAACGAAACCTTGGCAATACCGAGGGTCGCATTTTTTCTATAAATCTCAGTTATTCTTGTGTATGGAAATGCCGCTACCAAGTGATACGAAACTAACCTCTAAAGCGTGAAAAGATTTATATAACTGTTCTCCGAACTGAGTGCACCGAATCATTTAACACTTTACCACGTAATTAAAGAAACCGTACGGAAAATGTGAAAGATATCGAGAAAAGTTTTATAAAGATGTGTAGTGAAATTTATTGTTATCCTGTAAGCAGCATGTGCTCTGTTTTAAAGGGATGTGAAAGTGGCACTTGAGGGATCAATCGTACATGAAATTTTTCTCACAACTATACCGAATCGAACTTTACAATGTGAATAGGGAGGCTGTAAGGAAGGTCCTGACGCTCATAAAATGTTACTTTTTATAAACAAAAATTTAAAAACATTTAGGAATTAAAAAAGAAAATGTTTATTTCATGGGTGTCAGGACCTTTCTTATAGCCTCCATATTCACATTGTGAAGTTTGAAACCATTCGGTAGACCCAGTTCGGAGAAATGTTTCATAAACGAGACTTCTTTGACGCCACTTTCGCATCACCTTAATGTTTTCCGCCAAGATGGCAACCACCGCGCGGCAAATTTGAACCCATCGTCCGTACACATCATTCGATCGCACAAGGTGTCCCGTAATGCGTATGAGCCTTGAAAGTCGCGTTCGTTTCTCTTCCACTTCTTCCGTGTATTTATGTCGCGCGAGTCGAGAACATCGGCAAGGATCGATCCGTGAAATAAAAGATATACCCTTCGCTGAGAAACGGCGGTGGGTCGATACCGCGGAATTCATGAATCGAAATTAAATTTTCCCGGAGCCCCGACAGGGCTCAAAGGAAGCCGATTCCCAGGCGCCCCTTAATTCCATCCAGAGCCGCGAAAAGGCTCGCGCGATTCCATTCTACGAGCTAAGAACGCCGAATGAACGACGGCCCTTACTTTGCAGATCACCCTTGACACGGTTGCGTAGGAAACGCCTTCGCTTCCGTTATCCGTTAACCGTTAATTATCGGCTCCAAGTTGAAGCTCCTCGAGTCTCCTAAACCCCTCAGAAGATCCGTTCTCGACCTTGCCGGAATCGGCCGTCTGCATTTTCGCCCCACTGACCGAAGTTTCCCAGACGGAGTTCGCGTTGCCACGAAACGAGGTTGCCTCGAACAGCCTCGATCGCAATAGAGAGATGGAAGTGAGAAGATCATTCGGCATCTGCCGTTAAGGCAGTCGTATCGTGTGACGGCTGTATTTTTTCGCTTTCTTTGTGAATTTTTTGCTAACAAACCATGAAAATACCCCACCTTGGAATTTTTACAATATATTTATTAACGGTTATACAGTCAGTCAGAATTTTTTCAAGCAAAAATATAGATTGGAATCGACTTTACAGCGTTCGAAAGACGCACATGTAAAAAATAAGTAGATTGACGGCTCACATATGATTCCGGCTGTTCTGTTCGTCAGAAATCAAAAAGTGAAATGGTATTTTAATCTGTAGATCTGTGGCTATAGCCAGAATTAAGATTGAATGAAAATATTGAAAATTAAATTTTTTTCACGGTTTTGAAAATTTAGTTCTGATTTTTGTCTTTTTTTTTCGACTTTTTAAGCTTGCTAAAAGAAAAACTAATGTTCGAAACGATCCGGTACTGCCAGTTCGGAGAAGTTTCATAAACAAGACTTATTTTACGCCACATTTGCATCACGTTAATTATCGATTCCGAGTTCAGGCTTTTATGGACTTCTAAATTCAGGAGCGCTTTAGGAGGCTGAATTTGGACTCGCCTGACCTTGCCGGAAATGGCCAGCCACGTTTTCGCCGAGCTGGCCTAACTTCCGCACACGGAGTTCGCGTTTCCACAGAACGAAATTTCCGGAAACAGTCTCGATCGCAGGAGTGCAATGGAAGAGTCGAGATCATTCCGCACCCTCGAGGTCGTAGAAGCTCCCGAGGCGCGAGGGATTGGATGTTTTTTCGGAAAATAATTGCAAATCCCCGGAAAACCTTGGATACGACGGTTTCGTTCCATCTCGTCGATCGCGTGAGAGGGTTAATTCGCTTCCGCATAGTCGAGAGAATCGAAAGGAACATCGAGAGAAGTCCGATGGCAAAAGTCGGACGATGCGTCGACCTCGACTACTGGCGATGCCGATCACCGGCGCGACGGTTTCTCCGCTCCGCAGGATCCCCGGAGGAGACGGATGGGATTTATATTATACATAAATTCAGCAGCCTTCAACCCTGGAAAATAAATCCGGAGTCGATTCCCCGCCTCGTTTCGTTACCTATCCGATCGTGTGTATACTTTCGCGTGTAGGCAAGGGTACGATCGAAGGGAACGCCGCGGGCATGTTCCGCTCGATCCAAAGGAGACTCAACACGATATTTGATATGCGTTCAAGAGTCGACCCGGATACTTCGAGAGCGATCGAATCGATCACCAGTCGTGCGGG